GCAAAATTAGAGTAAAATCGGCGGAGCCCCGATGTTTAAACACCCACATGGCTTTATTTTCCGAGATACACACAGGGCTGTAGTTCGATGTATGTCAAGAAGCTTCACGCTACGAGTGCTACAAAATATGAGAAAAGAAATTAAATTTTACCTTGACATATTTTTGAGGTAAGATGGGTCAAATCTGTTAAAACATTCGAACAGCCTCTTCTGAACATGTAGCCAGTACTGTAGCTTGCATGCAGGGAATGCTACGAAGTTAAAAAAGGAATTACTTAAACTTCACTCAACCACTATCTTCAGAAACACCAAGAGGCCTAAAAGCATGATGTATAGCCAATGACTGGCTTGCAATAACTGCTACAAAGTTTTAGAAAAGAAATGACCTTGACATATATATATATTCAAGGTCACAGGGGTCTAATCTGTTAAAACACTCAAAATACTTTTTTTCTAAAAGATCCAAAAGGCGTTGAGTCGACGTTATTACAACTTCCCAGCAGCTTACTGGCATTGAACTCTACAAAGTTTATGGAAAAAATGATCTTGACCTATCTTCAAGGTCACAAGGGTCAAATTTGTAATAACCCTGTAACAAAACAGGTGAGCACTGCAACAAAATTATGCAACTTGAGGTTACCAAACTTCTGCATGTATATTTGTTAGGGAGTTCGTGAGTGACAGAAAAATGATGTTTACATTTTTTACCATGCAGTCACTGGTGCAACTCGCAAGTTATTTGTAAATATGAACCAGAAGCTCTTGGGCCACCATAGACTTTAATACATAAATGATTCTAATAAATAGGATGTCATGTTTGCACTACAAAACAAGAGGCCCAGAGGGCCTGTATCGCTCACCTGGATATCAATGGCAAAACAGATCTAAGGGAATATGCCAGACCCCAAGGCCAATCCTTGTAGCATATCTGTATTAGATTTTTCATGCCCAGCAATTTTATGTATGGTGATGGGGTGGGGATCTCAACTGTTTCCAAGCTATGACTCAGAAACTAGGTCCCTAGGGTTGTGGCCAGACCCCAGGATCAGTTCTAATATAGCATGACTGCATTTGTCTCTTTTTGCCCAGCATTTGTATTTATAGTTGTTTTGGTAGGGATCTCAACCGTTTTAAAGTTATGACCCAGGGGTTAAGTTTGCAAGGGTGGGGCAGACCCTGGGGTCAATTCTAATATCATGACTGCATTCGTCTCTTTATGCCCAACAATTGTATATATAGTTTTGGGGTGGAGATCTTAACCATTTCGAATTTATGACCCAGGGGTTAAGTCTCCAAGGGTGGGGCAGTCCCCATGGCCATCCTGGAAGCATATGTGCATTCATCTCTTTATACTCAGCAATTGTATATATGGTTATAGGGTGGGGATCTCAACTGTTTCCAAGCTGTGACTAAGAAACTAGGTCCCTAGTGGAGTGGTCAGACCCCAGGGTCTATTTTAACAACGTGACTGCATTCGTCTCTTTATGCCCAGCATTTGTATATATAGTTTTGGGGTGGGGATCTCAACAGTTTTAAAGTTATGGCCCAAGGACTATGTTTCCAAGGGTGGGGCCAGACCCTAGGGCCATCCTGGAAGCAAATGTGCATTCTTCTCTTTATACCCGGCAATTGTATATGTGGTTATATGGTGGGGATCTAAACTGTTTCCAAGCAATACACTTTTTTTGGCCCCACCTCTTAGCCCGGGGGGTCAGCCCCACCATTTGTACAATTTTGAATCCCTGCCTCCCATGAATGCTTCCGACCAAATATGATCAATATCCAAGGCACAGTTCTACAGAAGAAGTCATTTATAGCAATATAGCAAAATTGCCCCCTTTTGGCCCTGCCCTCAGCCCCACCATTTGTACAATTTTGAATCTCCACCACCTAGGGATGTTTCCAGTCAAATATGGTTGGTATCCATTTCTAAGTTCCAGAGAAGAAGTTGCTTAAAGCAATATAGCCAAATTGCCCCCTTTTTGCCCCGCCCCTCAGTCCCCTGGGGGGTCAGCCCCACCATCAGTACAATTTTGAATCCCCACCACCTAGCGATGCTTCCATTCAAATTTAGTTAAATTCCTATCAGTGGTCAAGAAGAAGAAGTCATTTAAAGAAATTGTTGACAGATGGACGACGGTCGACAGACGATGGACCCTACGGTATGGCACAAGCTCATCTTGGTCCTTCGGACCTGGTGAGCTAATAATGACTGCATTCGTCTCTTTATGCCCAGCATTTGTATATATAGTTTTGGGGTGGGGATCTCAACCGGTTTAAAAGTTATGGCCTAGGGACTATGTCTCCAAGGGCGGGGCCAGACCCTATGGCCATCCTGGAAGCAAATGTGCATTCTTCTCTTTATACTCAGCAATTGTATATATGGTTATATGGTGGGGATCTCACCCATTTCCAAGTAATAAACTTTTTTTGGCCCCACCCCTTAGCCCGGGGGGTCAGCCCCACCATTTGTAAAATTTTGAATCCCTGCCTCCAACGAATGCTTCCGACCAAATATGATCGATATCCATGGCATAGTTCTACAGAATAAGTTGTTTATAGCAATATAGCCAAATTGCCCCCTTTAGGCTCCACCCTCAGCCCCCTGGGGGTTCAGCCCCACCATTTGTACAATTCTGAATCCCCACCACCTAGGGATGCTTCAGTCAAATATGGTTGATATATATCTCTTAGTTCCAAAGAAGAAGTCGCTTAAAGCAATATAGCCAAATAACCTTTTTTGGCCCCGCCCCTCAGCCACCTGGAGGGTCAGCCATACCATTTGTACAATTTTCAATCCCTGCCTCCCATGAATGCTTTTGATTAAATATGATTGATATCCAGTGCATAGTTCTACAGAAGAAGTCGTTTATAGAAATATAGCCAAATTACCCCTTTTTGACTGCGTCCCTCAGCCCCCTGGGGGGTCAGCCCAACCATTTGTACAATTTTGAATCTCCACCACCTAGGCATGCTTCCAGTCAAATATGGTTGATATCCATCTCTTAGTTCCAGAGGAAAAGTTGCTTAAAGCAATATAGCCAAATTGCCCCCTTTTTGCCCCGCCCCTCAGCCCCACCACCTGTACAATTTTGAATCCCCACCACCTAGGGATGCTTCCAGTGAAATTTAGTTAAATTCCAATTAGTGGTTAAGAAGAAGAAGTCGTTTAAAAGAAATTGTTGACGGACGGACGCCACTGTATGGACCCGGTGAGCTAATAATGACTGCATTAGTCTCTTTATGCCCAGCATTTGTATATTTAGTTATGGGGTGGGGATCTCATCCGTTTCAAAAGTTATAGCCTAGGGACTATGTCTCCAAGGGCGGGGCCAGACCCTATGGCCATCCTGGAAGCAAATGTGCATTCTTCTCTTTATACTCAGCAATTGTATATATGGTTATATGGTGGGGATCTCAACCATTTCCAAGTAATAAACTTTTTTTGGCCCCACCCCTTAGCCCGGGGGGTCAGCCCCACCATTTGTACAATTTTGAATCCCTGCCTCCAACGAATGTTTCCGACCAAATATGATCGATATCCATGGCATAGTTCTGCAGAGGAAGTCGTTTTAAGCAATATAGCCAAATTGCCCCCTTTTGGCTCCGCCCTCAGCCCAACCATTTGTAAAATTTTGATTCTCCACTACCTAGAGATGCTTCCAGTCAAATTTAGTTAAATTCCAATCAGTGGTTTAAGAAGAAGTCATTTAAAGATATTGTTGACGGACGGACGATGGATGCAACGGTATGGCATAAAAACTGAGCTAGTCCGCAGTGACAAGTGTTAACATTTCTTTTCTGTCGAGTATATAGCTACATACTTAAACTTAAATCTACATAGAATTCTGATTTTTACATAGCATACTTATTTCCACAGTGTACTTTTATCTACAAATACCTACATAATGTACTTATTTCTGCATGAACCTACATAGTGTACTTATTTCGACATAAACCTAAATATAGTGTACTTATCGACATAAACCTAAATAGAGTGTACTTATTTCGACATAAACCTAAATATAGTGTACTTATTTCGACATAAACCTATATCATGTACATATTTCTATATAAACAAACCTTCAGTGTAATTTAATATTTCTACATAACCTACATAGTGTACATATTTCTACATAAACCTACAACACATGTGCTGAGTATTTGTGAAATCATGTGAACTTAGTATTATACTTCAATGTATTTCCTAATCAACCCTGCAGATTTATCAGAGAGCAGCGAAACACAAAACGAGATTTATAGTTCATTTTCCTAATTTTTATTATTATAATATTTTTACATTAATATCAGATGCAGATCACATTTCAAATATAAAGTAACTGTTACTTAAGGCCCGATAAGAAATGATGGAGATTCAAAAACGTTTCTCATCCATTGATACTTATACATATATAGTACTCGAAATGAAGTGTCTGCAGATAAAGATCAGAACAGGACGTCATCATAGATTTCATGTGTGGAATGAACAGGATGTAATTTGTATATATCACATAAACAATTACAAAGGATTTAATCATAACTGAAACTGAACTGCTCCGGTTCCGGACCTTCACAGAAGTAATTGTTTTATACAAAGCATTGTACATGTACATACCACAATGATGATTTGATTCTCTCTCTCTCTGCCTCTCTCTCCCTATATACTCTCTCTCTCTCTGCCTCTCTCTCCCTATATACTCTCTCTCTCTCTGCCTCTCTCTCCCTATATACTCTCTCTCTCTCTGCCTCTCTCTCCCTATATACTCTCTCTCTCTCTGCCTCTCTCTCCCTATATACTCTCTCTCTCTCTGCCTCTCTCTCCCTATATACTCTCTCTCTCTCTGCCTCTCTCTCCCTATATACTCTCTCTCTCTCTCTGCCTCTCTCTCCCTATATACTCTCTCTCTCTCTCCCTCTATACGCTCTCTCTCTCTCTGCCTCTCTCTCCCTATATACTCTCTCTCTCTCTCTCTCTCTCTCTCTCTCTCTCTCTCTCTCTCTCTCTCTCTCTCTCCCTATATACTCTCTCTCTCTCTTTGCCTCTCTCTCCCTATATAATCTCTCTCTCTAGCTCTCTATCAATACTGAAATAGCATCCTTTCAATAGGTGAATTCAAGTATTTGCATATAAAACATACATAGTTCATAAAATACATACGAAAATAGAGATCATATACAGGATTTCAATGAAGGGAGGTAATCCAATACTACCTTCACACTTAGTAATGAAATGTGTTCAATTTTCCACGTGGGGACCTCAACCTCCTTTAATTTAGCTGAAGTGTTACTAAGATTTGCATGTATCTATTGAACAAAGTTAGGTCAAAGTTTTTTTCTAAGGAAATTAAACCATTTCCTGAATTGGACGGATATACATAAAACATATGTACATAAAACAGTATAAAACTGTCTGTTAAATTAGTGGCCAAATATGTCATTAAGACCCAAGTATATGGTATCTGTCAAGGTTCTATAAAAACAGTATTCGATCTCCATTCTTTAGTACAATCGATAATAACAAAACATAATAAAAGATCTATAAATTAAATGTTATCAATTGTTCATGATGCTTAGTTCCTCCTTTTCGCGGTTGTCTGACAGGGCGGAGATGATTCGGGAAAGGTAATTGTTGAAGTGATTCCTCACGTCATCACCATCCTCCTCAATGTTTGTTTGTACTGTCTGTACATTAGCAAACGTATCACCTGCAGAATAATATACCACGAAAGTTAACTCAGATTTACTATTCACTAACAACGCAAAAACCGGTGGATTTGCTGGAAAATTACACAGACTTAGAGATTTATAATATATAGCAAATTACTAATCACTGATTATTATGAGTTTAACTAGAAAGAGGACATTAAAAAATAATGACTGGTTGAAGTTTTCATATTTATTTTGAGAAATGAGCAAAAAATAGAGATTTGTCTGAGATTAACTTTTGGAGGAACTTAGTGTTTCAAATAATTAGTACAAAATGTAAAATGCATAATAGCTAATATTTAAAAACAAAATCCCTTTCAAAATTGATTTGCTAAATAATCAGTCCCTAAAACCATTAGACATAAAAGGATTATAATACTTACTAAGTTGAGATCTTTCTCTTTCATTTGCTCCTGGCTTGTGATGTGCAAGTATTATACATTGGCTATCCTTCAAGCTTTGTTGGGTCACAAAAAAGTCATACCTTAAGTTTAAAAAGAAAACAATATGCAAAAATAATTAAAAGCAGAACTGTATGGTTGGTTTGTATTATCGGTACTCTCATTATCGATTAGACTGTTTATCATAAATTTTAGTTATACATGTAATCAATTTAATAACTACTATAAATTTTAATCATAATCTCATATCTCGACTACAGATATTCAGTTAAGATAAGCATGTACAACTGTATATTGGTATATAATATATACATATATATGTATATGTAATAAAAAAGGAATTAAGTCCATATGAAGTAAGTAAATATAGAAAAAGTAAGATCTAATGACTGACTAAAAAACAAGCTGCTTTCACCCTTAACAGGGCTTTTCAGGTTTTTCCTGAAACCTGAAGAGCCCTGTTAAGGGTGAAAGCAGCTTGTTTTTTAGTCGGTCATTAGATCTTACTTTTTCTATATATTGATATATATATATATATGGGGCAAAGAAGTAATTCCAACAGTGTGGACAAGTTTAGGTTGTCAAATTTTCGGAGCGATCTGCTCCTTTATCAAGATACAGTGAAACAGAACAGTTACATGTACATATACATCATTTTACAAGAAGATAGAACTGATATACTATAATTGAAAATATAGCTATTATACAAAACCGATAGTCCCCTCTGTTAAAGACAGCCGAAGGCAGCAATTAAGCTGAGAGCATCGCGGACAAGGAACGCTGATAGTCTAAATATCAGAACGCTCGCTGGCTCTGCTCTATAGCGAAAGTGCACTAAGACGACTTGCCCAATGAAACACAACGGCGACCCGCCAAATGATAACCAAAATCGGAATAGAATCCCTCTAGAAAACTCTTTAACTACTAAATATAAGTTGATATATATATATACAGTATAACACCCCCTTAAAACAAATCCAAAGGTATCTAAGAGGTTGTTTCAGTCTACTGGTAGCCATTTTTTTATTTGAGTATTTAAGTCAGTTTCTAATGATCTGTAGACAACTCTTTGACATTGTCAGTCACAAAATATTAAACTGGGGGAGTTCATTAGACTGCAAAAACTATTTTGATGATACTGTTGAACTTACCATCCCTCCATATCCTTGTCGTGATTAGGCATATCAGGATTGTACACAAACACTACACCAGTTGTGTCCTTAGCCATCGCAGGCCAGCATGTCTCAAACCTGGAGAACAATCAAGTTGTATCAAACAATATATTAAGCAAATTATAAAGATTTGTCAAATTCTACATTGCCTGATTCATATATGTCATGAATTGAGAAAATAGAGCATTATCTTTATTGAAATTAAGAGGATATTCTTAGGGGTTTTTTTCCCCTAAAGGAAAAATAAAGCAATGTTTTGCCAGGAGAAGCAGTCTGTTTGTAACCACAATTCTAGGCTGATAAATTGATGAATTATAACCATAATAAGTATTGTTTAGAGTGTTGATTTGTAACAAATTACTACAGCTAAGACACTTGTTTTAAACATGTGTTAAACCTTGTAAGTACAGCTACCACCTTTTACCCATCAAAATACTTTTAGGGGGCTTTCTGATATACAGAAAGAAACAAATCAATGAATTGTTAAAAAGGGAATGGGGATCTTACAATATGTTGTCAATTACTGAGGTGTTATGGAGTTAACAAGGGACATACTATCTTGAGTTTTAACTATACATACAGATATGTACATAATACTATTGTCCATAACTAATAAATACTTTCACAAGTAATGACTATCACAGGGACCTGAGAATTCGTTAGTTATATTTGGACCTTAATAAGACGTTCAGAGTAATTTGACATGTTTTCGGGGTTTAGATCGACTTTTGGTAAAAACGACACCCCCAATGATCATATGTTCGATCATTAGGGGTGTCATTTTTACCAAAAGTCGATCTAAACCCTGAAAACATGTAAAATTACTTTGAACACTTTAGTTTAGGTCCAAATATAGCTGAAACAAATTATCAGCTCCCTGTGATCAGTATATCAATATTACCTCCTGTCACCACTACAATCCCACATTTCCACTTCCACATTTTGACGGCCGCCTGTGTTACATTCAAACTCTACAATTCGACAACCTTGTGTTGGATGGTACTCCCCGCTGGCTTGATCTGTGGCATCAGCAAGGAAATTGGACACTGTTGTTTTGCCACTCTGAACAAATTTGAAGAATATGTTTAGTTAAAATATCCATTAGTTGCAAATTTCTGTGAGCAGATTTTTTTCTGCATTAATATTCATTGTTTTTCTTTCGCTGTAAGTATCTTCTTTGGTTTCATTTGTTCAGATTTCCGTTTGTGTTATATTTGATGAATAGAATGTTGAGTTTTGTGAGTGAGTTTCTGATTTAACAAGTGAAATTTTCAATCCATTGGAAAACTTCTAACTAATCTATAGCTAGTGGCTAAAATATATTTATACATTGCACCTTGATCCCTAGGCCTGTACACAAACCACAACCGATCAGTTTGCCCTTTTTGAGGCCAATGTCAAAAATTGAGGAATATGAGATGCCAAGAATAGTTTTAAACAACTCTCATGAAAATGGCACAAAACAAGTATTTCAGGAAGAATGATACAGCTACTTAAGGTCTCTTTAGATATTTATTATGACCGAATCATCAGATTATACTGGGCCTGGTACATGTATATATCACCCTCTGAGCATTCTGGGATAAGACACACATGATATTGTTAACATAATTTTTTGAATTGTTGCTTTTATAACTTGAATCTGAACGAAGTGCAAATGACTATCAATCTGGAATGAATTTACTGCTTTTGTTGTTAGTGACGTGTTTGTCAGGGACCCCCTGTGATTGTCATGACACTACCTACATTAAAAGTTATATTATGTGTACTGTGTGTAAACTGTAATGGAAGGAAAATGCACAGGGTGAGACAGAGATTTAAACTTTACATGTGGGCCTCCAAACTCTTAGAAATTTAAACCAATTGTAATTTGAGCTACCTAATCACCAGTAGACTCATCCAGCCCATCTCTGCTAATATACATTTAAATTGCTTTCAAAGCATGTAGGCTTTTAAACAGATACAACAAGGTTCTGCAGAAATTTGACTAATCCGCCTCCACCCTTCTTTCTAAGACTTCAATCCAAGACACATTATTTAGTGTGAATAGCATTTAAGACCTAAGTATGAAGTGCACCACAGACTACTCGTAATCAATGGTTAGTCACAGGAACCACTATAACAGGAGAAGGAAAATGCAACACGTACATAAAGACAGGGATTTAAATCCAGGACCCCAGCACTCCAAATGGACATACTGTAACTCTCCACTGAGCTATCTTATCTGGTCACTGGCAGTGGAAAATCTAGCTTCTGATGACGAGAGATTTTTTTTATATATTGCGTCGTCAGAGCTCCAGATGGGACAGAGGAGGCCGGGTATTAATATTAGTACTAGTGTCGGGTCATATCGCTCTTAATTTTGCACTAGGTTGTTCTGTCCTAAAAATGGTTTATAATTTTAGGGTAAAACTTTCAAGATCTCCACACAGCGCTGTACTTGAATTTCTTCTTATAACACAATATCCACAGGTGTTTGAAATTCTGACTGTAAATTGAGATGTATATCATCAAAAAATAAGGGTACTTATAATAAGGGTAGACCTATGTTATTAAATGTTTTTTCTTTTTTTTTTTAAGTTATACCCTTTTTTTTCTGATATATATCTCAATTTACAGGCAAAATTTCAAACACCTGTACACAATTGTTCTTGAAATATAAGCAAAAACTTAGTAAGATCTTAGATGTGTAAGCTTTTGGTCCACTAATTTCAAAAACAAAAGATGGGTAAGGCACTGGCGGTGAATATTCAAAACTTATTGTAATTACCTGACATGGGCCAATAACTAAAACTTTGACTTTAAACATCGTTGAACTTGACGGGAACGTTAACTTCAAAATGTAGCAGCCGAACTCAACTCGAGGAATTTGTTAGCGGAAGCAACTCGAAAACGCCATCTATCGGGAAAATAGCATTATGTCGTAAATAAACAGATATACAAATGTTTTAAGTTAAATGATGTTTATAACAAACTTTAGGTCAATTTTTACTTGACGTACTTTTTTCAGAAAATGTATTTAATTGGATAAAGTTCGAATCAAATATATGTTTACAATATGACGCACAGTTTACGTATTGTTTGATCACGTGGTTTTGATTTTGAGCGGAAGTTCCAAAATCATGCCTTAGCTTGCAGAAATAGATGTTAAAACAGTGTTAATATCTGTTTACAGTGATTTCCCGGATACATTTGGAGCTCATCGTTTGAAGAACTTAACGATTAACACTTTCCAAAAATTATCGGAATGTTGTACTTTTCCACTTGTCATGAAATAGTCAAATAAGTAAGAAAACCACAACATTCATGACATTCATTGATTCAATGGTCCATGTCTTCTTGTACTCCAACAACATACATGTTGGAGGCTGCTAGTCGGCTATTTTTGTATCGGGTATGATTATGCCGGCTGCAACCCGGCTCTTGTCAAAAGTATTTCGCCGTATTTATTAACCTCTAACATCTGAACATTGTTGGAGTAATCCAATAAGAAATATATATGCACATCTGTTCATGTGCAACAAAGTCAGAGAAATTCAATTGGAAGGGTAATTTGCTTGACTGGTATCTAATTATCATGTACACAGCTAGATAATGTACATGCTTCCACTACGGCCAAGTGCAGGTTTTGACACAAAGGTTTATTATAATGATAATAATTCAAGGCTCTTATATACCGCTTTATCACAACTTAGTTCGTAGGTCGTCTCAAAGCAGTTAACTAATTATTATCCGTGGTTATAGGACCTTTGCGACAAACCAATATCTTTCCCGGGGTCCCTGGGATCGCAGCATACAGCTGCAGGTACTGCCATTTTGGCGCTCACATGTACAGCTAGCATCCAACAATTCCAGCACTGCCCAACCATGTACCCATTTACAGCTGAGTAGACTGGAAAAAGTGGAGTAAAGTATTTTGTTCAAGTCTCAGATACAACACAGTACCATGATGTGACTCGAACCCACAACCCATCAGTCATGAGCCTTATTGCCTCCTACCACTAGCTAGACTACCATGCCTCTTTCTTATTGTAAGATACTTATAGCCTGTCATCCTCAAAATTCCAGGGGTTTATGCTCACTTGCTGTATGGCTCTGCACCTCTGGAATAAGTCACATATGTCTTACTGCAGGCTTTTTGTGCAACAAAGTACCCTTAAGTTAGGTGTAGTGGGGTCATATATATATACAGTGTACCATTTATTACATTGTCTATATATATATACAAATGTATGTGTGATTTTAGCCAATCAAGGAGCTACTAAGAATTTTCACCCTAGTTGATTAAAGGATATATTTTACTTTGTAGTGATTATAGATGATAAACATTTATTTACAAGTATATTTTTTTTCATACATGTAGGTAACATAGGCACACTATGAAGTCATTATCTTCCCTGGGGTTTACTGTGTAGTGAAGAGGATACAGCTGCTGACTTTACAGTAGGTGAACACTACTGAAGACAAACATGGGGGTAAGTATGGCTCAAGTGGAACTATATATATATAGACAGAATTCAACACTAACACTAGTCCATTAGTCTGAGAGTCCAAAAGACAGTCTGATACTAGTACACTGTACGTAGTAACTTAAAGTAGCTGACCAAAATAAGAATCTTTCCCTGATCTGCTTTAGAATACATTAATATAACATACTGATTGTCAAAATTTCATGAGCTATGTTGAATGAAACTATTATTAAAATAATGTTTGGCGAAGATTCAAATGTGTGGATTGTGAAAGCATGAACATTTTACTACATATTGTATGTACAGGTACCTATAATTACAGGACTACACATATTATTACAGCAGACAATTGTACAAATGTGTATTCCCTGTACTCAATAATAGATAGGAATTGACTGACTTATCAAAAAAGTGTACACCAGCAGGATGTCTGAAAAACCTCAAATTTTGAAAAATATTACAGGAAAAAGGTTACCTTATAGTAAACTGTACATGCTACCATTCTGTCAAGGCATATTTGACAAAGTATTTCCAGATATCTTTAGATAAACTGCTTGTGATGTTAATGATGTATGTAATATATCAGGGTTGTTTCATTAATAATTTAACATTATAGGTATAAATGTACTTGTGATTTACTTATTTTATAGGTATACTGTATATATATACTTGTGATTTCTTCCTTCAGAACACATCATCGTCAGATCTTGCCCTAGATTTGCCAGTCATCATTATTATATCTGTGATTTGCTGGGTCGCCGTCATTCTTATCATCCTCGGAATTCGACAGATGCTACTGGTTTGTAACTTGTGTGATAGTTTGAACCATCATGTTTAAGGATGTATGCTATCTTGTGATTTTATGTAAGAGTTATTTCCCTTCATGTTTTAAAAAAAAAAGTTGATAGTATAATTAAGAATTTATCCTCAATCAATCAACAGGCCTGACTACTGCCAGGTTATTTATAAAGCTAGGTGACACTTTTCTTAGTATAGAACTCCTATAAAGGAGATGTATGTTGCAGTAAGGTTTTAGGTACAATCATTTACTCTACTTTATTCTTGTTGACAGTCTTATCGTTTGTACTGTTACAAAATTGCAGACAAATTACGAAATGCTTCCAAAGCATATTTCAATCACTGTAACGGATTCACTCTTCAAACTTCCAAATAATGTAAGTCTCCTGTTTCTTTAGGTGTTTTAAACTTTCCGATTTCAAAAATTTGCGATGTCATGAAAACTGTGCACAAAGTATTTACATTTTTTTTGTAATTATTATTTGCTTTGAGGGCATGCTAAGAAGACCCTTGTGATTATTATATATGCATGTATTATTGTTCCTGTTACAGTCGCGGGGCGTGTGTGAGGCAGGGTGTGGTTGTTCCCTGTGTGGGTCAGAAGATTCCCCGCCCTGCTGCGACTGTTGTATAGCGATGTCCGAGTCATGCAACTGTTGTAATCCTTCTGTTGGGGGTTGCCTCGACAAGTGCTGTCCAAACAGAAGGGTGAGTTACGTCATTCTTACAAATAAAAATGAATTGTTACTATTGCAAGCGACTTACTGGTCTCCGAATTGGAGAAGAAAAATATAAAAGTTACACAGTATACCAACATGTGTTGTCTGTCAAATCACTTATTTTCAAATTTAAATCATATAGCTGGCATGAACATTTATTTTAAAATCAGGATAGGCTGTTTTTGCGTGATATGATATGATATGAATGCATTATATACACTTGTGTGACTTATTGTCTATAATATGTTGTGAGTGCAGCTTGCATTTAAATGTTTTGATCCTGGAATAATGTAGGATCGAGGTGTATCTGGAGTAATGTAGGATCAAGGTGTATCTGGAGTAATGTAGGATCGAAGTGTTTCTACTTTGCTTGGCCTGGCAGAAGGTTTTCAGCTTTTGACAACATTTGAACTCCATTGTACTTGTGGACGTTTCTTTGACCCGAGACTTCTAGACAAAGTCTCAATAATTGATTTGTTTATCATGGAGCAGTCTTGAGTGAAAGTATTATTTCTTAATCAAATTAATGCATATGGAAGTATGTGAAGTGAACTTGAAGATCAGCTAGAGAGGTATTTTTGGGAAGTCATCAGTGTTGTTTGAAAAGGTGTTCAAATTTAGGAGATGGAGTATTACAGTATATGAATTGTTTGCTCCAGACAAAACTCAAATTTGTTATCATTTTTTTCTCTCTCCAATTTTCATGATAATATCAGGATGCCAAATCCATGTGTGAGGTATAGCAGTAGGCATGTGTGAGGTATAGCAGTAGGCATGTGTGAGGTATATAGCAGTAGGCATGAAGGAAACATGTTTATATTTATATTTTGTTTGTTTTATGTAGTGAATATTATACAGTAATATGCAAATGTGAAGAAAAAAAACCCAGTAATGAAATCTGAAACCCAAGGTATTTCCTATGATCACACTAACATGCATGTTCCTTGAGAAAAAATATGTTCATTTCATGACCTCATCCAAAGCATATTTCCAATAGGTGTAATTTTTGCAAGCTTTGACACAGGTAGATTCACTTGATTTCACATTTCTAGGTTTTGTGGTGGTTGAATAAGAGCAGTATTTTTTCGGATAAGATCCTCAGTGTTTTTCATTTGTTGTTAAGACCAAAATAGAAATGTTTCTTTCATGGTACATGTCTGAAAAACCAAGGGAAGGTAGCTAGGTTATGAATTTTATTTTTTTATTTTTTATAAGGTTTATTTAGGAGAGTGATCTTGACTTCAACAATGCTTTGTTGAAAATTGTCATTTTTTTTTTTAGGGTAGACACAGTAAATTTAGGTAGATAGGGTAACGGAATCAAACAACAGTTGTTATTTGGCCTTACAAGTGACCTACAGCTTGTATACTTTTATGAAGTATTTGTTTCCCATATTGCTTCAGATTTTAATGACATTTGATTCATGTTTTCTTATCCAATATTTCTTTATTAGAAACATAGACAGTTAATCCTTGTTATAATGTCACCATAAAACAATCTCTTTGATGCCTTTAGATATGACACTCAGTACGATGTGTGTTACAAATAAAATATATTGACTTCGTCTCACCTTCAAGTGGCTTTCGTATGATAGTTACCGTACATATAAATGATACTCTATGAAGTTGAGGAGGTGACCCTGGCATTGGTAGTATATAGCAATAGATAAATCCATATCTCTTCAACAATGGAAACTGGTGTCACAATCTTTTACTTCAGCCGATTTGCTGTAGATATTTGAAAAGTTTTCAACACCTCACATGATGTTGTCTCTTGTTCAGTAACAATTGTAAATTTGAAGCAGCTTTTGATATTGGTTTTTATATTGCAGTCCCTAAGCTGTGTGGAAATTCTTCTTTGCCAGTGTTTTGGATCCACAAATTGTCTCACAAATGTATGTATAAATAAAGAATCTTCATATATTTATTATTTTATGTTTATGTTTACAAATTTAGAATGTTTAAATTTACTGTTTAGAAGTTTATGTTCATTGTTTGTTAAACTTATTGATTCATTATTTTAAATTTTTAATTCCATGTTGAGAATATTGTTATATGGGTAAATAGTGACTAATTACTTATGTTTCATTTGTTTCATACTCTCAATCACTTGTAACTATAAAACCGTGTGTCGTCTTTTTATACGCCTGTCGAAGACGGGGACGTATTATGTTATCACGGGAGCGGGCGGGAGGGCGGGAGGGCGGGAATGCGAACGATGTCCGCTCGATTTCTCGAGTAATTATTAACGGATTAACTTCAAACTTCACAACAAGGTTAATTACCATGAAACCTCGGACAAGTTTGATAACCGCCATTATCCGACCGTAATTATTGGAGTTATTCCCCTTGTTTCATTAATGCGATGCATGCGTTCCGTGATGTTCTATTGCACTCATTGATCTACCAGTTATGTTGAATGATTTCTCTTTTAATATCAATTACTCACAAATACTTCATATATTTCAATCGTACAAACAACTGCTCATTCAATGTGTGACGGGCGTATTATATACCGCTCGCGGTAACCTTGTTATAAAATCCAATGGACCGTTTTTGACAATTTTCCCAGCATGATTTACCCAACAGTTTGTTTCAGGTGCCGATGGTGTTTATATTCTGTTAGGGTGATGAAATGACTTATTTTTGTTATTATTTTTGACAACATACAGTGGTGCAATGAATGTGGAACTCTCCAGTCTCAAAGTGCTGTGTGACGTGATCATTACACACGCACAGTTATATATTTATTTATAGAGTTGTAAGTATAAACATATATCTACCCCCTGTAGCCTTCTCGTAGTGTGGGATGTATGTATGCACAGCTTTCATTTACATTCACTTGTTTTGTTGGTAAGTATTCAGCACTGTTAACAATTTAATATCTTTCAGCTTGCATGCTTGATGTGCTTACGGATGAATGTGATGACATGTCTTGGTCGTTTAATAAGGCTTTCCACATTAATATAATTTATTAATTTCCTGCGGTTGATGCTCAGGGTATTCTTTGATTTGTAAATTTGAAAAATACAGAAGCTATGTTAGTGCTAATATGCTTAATTTTCATTGATAATTAAGTTCCGTTTAATATGCATGCTCAGGGTTAGTTTTCGCAAATAAAAAATTCTCATTTCAAAATTACATTACTTTTAACTACATGTATTTACTTTTGCATTTTGAAAATTTACTCTAATTATTCATCTGCCCTCAGCTCAAATTGCAATAAGGTGAAGTTATGTATGTATCTCCTCATTTCACTCCTGTTATATATTGGTGTCCATCATTGACATTTTGGTGTCCTGTTACAGGTACACAAAATCCTCATTATGATGGCCCTGTTTGTTCATCCCCTTATCCCTTTTCTTACATTTCCTTTACATTTTCTGCTATATCATTTTACCCTTTTATAATGCCAGCCTTGTGCTGTACACACTCTTTGGCAGTATATCAAGGGTTTGGCAAATTGCGATATACATGTACACTAAGTAGAGGAATGAGGCCTGTCATAGTGTATATATCAATAAGTGCACTTTATATATCTCAGATACTTTTCTTCCTGTTTTGTCACTTATAATGTGATGGTTCAGGGAATACACCTTTATTATTTTGCATCACACCAGTTATTTACTGTAAATATACTTATTTTACTGCACTCAAATTTTAAGTCATTTTCAAACTTTAACAGCTTTTAATTAATGATTTGATGAATTGGTGTACTCACAATAACTATATAAAATACAAATAGGGCAATACTGATTTAGCACAACATAGCAAATGTGAAATACTAAAAGATGTTAAAAGTAAATAATAGAAATTATATAATGGCTTTATATTTTTGTTTCATATGAATGTGATTCAACTCAAATTTAGTTATGCTTCTACACCAGAAAATGTGTAATACAATGCACATACGAATTGAAAATATTACTTTACAGTGGCTTGTGCTTGCAACAACCTAATTGAATTAAAATATATTAAAGCTTATCAGTTGTGATTTCAAACCTGAAAAAATAATTGATTTAAAATGTTCATTCTTTGTAACATACATGTGATTTTATAGCTGATTTTGGCAATAGTTCACTACTGGAAAGATATAATATTTAATGATTTTTTCTAGATCTTTGTATCAAAAAGGTTCTGAATTTTTCTTAAGTAATACAAGTATAATCGAATGAAAAAGATAGTGCCTGAATTGTAAAGAACAGTTTTGTGAGCCTGTCATAATTTTAAGTAGCTGTCTAAAGCTAACATTTTATAGAACAACTTTCTCATGTGAAGCTGTAAAATGTGACGTATCAGTACACATATTTCTTATTAATTTCCTTTTGACCTGATAGTGTATTGGTTATTTTTTTGGAATAATTGAGAGATGAGAATTAAAGAGGATCATTTCAACTGATTTCAGAATCTAGTGAACCAGCCAGCTGACTCCTGTTCCTGCCTGACACAGCCCTGTTGTAATGATCCTTGTTGTGCCTCGCTGTGTGGACCAGCCTGTTGTATGATACAGAGTGACCCAGATGCTGGGCCACTGTGTGGTGACTGTTGTATTGAACCCTGGTGCTCCACCCCAATCCCTGATGAAATGGAGGAAGAGGACATGCCCAGGTGTATCAACTTGGGCCTAGGCTTTAGCAGGAAGTTAGGGGCCTATCAGTGCTTCTGTGTGACTTTTGGTGGGTCATCCTTAGTGAGAAATGTCCACGAACTTCGGAGGGCTTCGACAGCCTCTGGAATTCATAAGATGCAGCCAGTGTCTTCCACAGTAGTATAAGTCAGATGAGTGGGTAACCTATTCCTACATTGATGGTATGTCCACAAGAAGAATTAATGAATTATGAACATAAACAGTTCTATTAATGAAGACTTTGCCGTACAAAGCAACGTTTATGTTTTTGTTGTTGTTGGTAATCAAGTTTCAAAGTTAAAAAGCCAATCCTGTATCAATTGTAATTACATTATACCCAATTAACTGTACTCCATATTTGGGTATCTGTACTCCATATTTGGGTATCTAGTCATCTCACCCTACAAATTTAGTAAATTATTGAACTCAGCTTTCCCGTACCACAGAGTTCTTTTGTATAGGATGTTCCTGAATAAATAGTAAGATGATTTTGGAATCATCCCGAAAAATCATGACTTTATATACTCTACATAAAATAACAATCAAAGAGTTTGAAGTTATTTTCTCACAAAATTTGCATTGTTTTCTAAATGGTGCTTATGTAAATATATTGTATCTTTACATATCCTACTGGGTGACTTCGGCAGTATGTTTCAGTTAAGTATCACTAAAAAGTCGGCATCAGTTTCCGCGCTATCACAAGGAGACAAACATGAACATATCACAGCCTCCCAAAACACACACGCATACACTACACACATGCATCTTGCACATAGGGGAGGCCGTCTTTAAATGACCATAGCTGTTGATAGGACGTTAAACAATACTAAACCAAACCAAACCTTTACATATCAAAGACTTTTGGTGCAAGTACAACTTTGTGTGTTAATGACATCGAACAACATGCATAATCATATGATTTTTAGAAATCATTGCACAATGCACATCATTTATTTATTACATTTTTGCCAATGAGATAGTACATGATAATGTACTCCTTAGAAAAGACATACTAGCATATTAAAAGACATATTTTAATAATTAAAATGCCATACTAATGCTTTTGATTACTTTGAAAAGTTTACACAATTTTTTTTTTAAACAATCTGGACAGGTCATGGAGGTCAATCTAGATAGGTCATAGATGTCACTCTAGACAGGTCATGGAGGTTGTTTGCAAGTCGACTGCACAGATGCCAGTGACTTGGCAGGTATATATGGAAGATATATATGTAGATCTTTCGTTCATTCTGCGGTTGAAGCATCAGTAGATAACTAGTTGCTATTTTGGCACATACGCCAAAATATATACTTAACTACACAATTGTTCTACAACTTTTTGTAAGAAACTTTTACCAGATGTCAATAATAGCATAAAGTTGTAGAATATGCATTGTTTAGTACATTCAAAATGGTGTGCAGCCTCGTTGTCAAGCATGACATCATTAGAGACTAAGTATAGCGCACCAATTTCCCCACTTGACGCAGGATAATTTTCATCATTGTTGGTACATATAAAACTGTAATACATACAAATAGAAAACTTAATGGTTTTCCAGACATCATTTTAGAGAATATTTTTCTCTCCAGATTCAACCAGTTTTTAGATATGCATGTCATGTGATGACGAGAGTGGGGCATGTGTTCTTTCTGGTATGTCATGTGATGACGAGGGTGGGGCATGTGTTCGTTCTGGTATGTCATGTGATGACGAGAGTGGGGCATGTGTTTGTTCTGGTATGTCATGTGATGACGAGAGTGGGGCATGTGTTCGGTCTGGTATGTCATGTGATGACGAGAGTGGGGCATGTGTTCGTTCTGGTATGTCATGTGATGACGAGAGTGGGGCATGTGTTCTTTCTGGTATGTCATGTGATGACGAGAGTGGGGCATGTGTTCGTTCTGGTATATGTCATGTGATGATGAGGGGGGAGTTCGAGGGGCATGTGTACTTCTGGTAAACACAGGCTGACAGCTGTTATAACCATATGCAAAACACACTAGTGTGAGGTTCCTGACTTCATATCTGATTAGTTGGTAGATATCTCTTTTGTATGAAGGATATCAAATTTCAACTATTTCCATCCTATTTCTAAACATTTTCTTCAGGTTGATAAGTTCACAACCAATAAAATGTTCTATGTGACGTTTCTATGACTAGTAGGATATGTACACTGTCACCTTCATCAGTGAAGCGTATGCACACAAAGGTGTTTAATACTTGGTCATAGATGTGCGAGAGTCTTTGAGCCCCCTCGTCTCGATTTAGAACTGGCCCACTGCGGCGTACTCAGATGGCTTCCTTTATCTACCGCTTGAACAGATTGCTCTCTGTCCAAAACTTTGGAGTTATCCCAGTTCTAAATTGAGACGAGGGGATCAAAGACTCTCGCACATCTATGACCAAGTATGCTGATTCGAGTCATTTTGGTACATATATAACAAGGCAACTGTTGTACATACGCTTACAGCGTAGCTGAAATCGACATCGATGTTGTGGACGACTCGTACACATTTTACACCTTTGTGTGCATACGCTTCATTGGTCATTTGTCTGATGAAGGTAACAGTGTACATATCGTACTAGACATCGAAACGTCACATAGAACATTTTATTGGTTGTAAAAAAAGAACCTTTCATAATATATATTTCCATCCTAATTTAACTAATCATACACTGCTGACAAAGTAGACTTATTACTGATTGACCTTCACACATGGCCCTCTAACTTGTAATCAACGACCACAAAATCATGTGATGTTTGTTTGGAAACTTGTTTCTTGGAAATGTTGTTGTATAGAAAATGCCAATTACGTTCCACTTATATTGTCACTGGAATTAATGTACCTATATTTTTTATTTGGGCCTCACACTTGTGAAATATATTATGCATATATTCTGCTGTAATTGTTAGATGTAAGTGGTATTCAATAATAAATCATTAAATATCCTTTATATATTATTTTAATTAAACTACACTCTCATTTTTTATTTTTTATGTTTCAATTTCCCACAATAAATTAAAGTTCATGTTAAGCTGGTTTGGGATTGATAATGTAACCTGAAATTATGTATACATGTTTCCTGCAAAATTGTACAGAAAAGTGGGATATTTTTGTTAGCTTTCAACAAAATGATGCATGTATAATACTAAATTTGGAGATACCGGTAGATGAAAATGTAAATGGGTCACCACATTTTGAACCTGTTTACCTTGCTTAAGTTTATTACAGGGAAGCTGCTTGCTCATTTGGGCACATGGAAAGTATTCTAGATCAACAGGCAAATACCACACAATCAAAGACAACCACAAACAATGATGCAGTAGAAAATATATGTACCATAATTTTCAACCTAAAAGAATTTTAGTTTACTAACAGAAGATTGTTAACTCTATAATAGAGATTGGTTGTCATAAAAAAAATTGTTATACCGAAAATAATTTAAATTATGTTTGCTAGCTAGATTATGTTTTGTTGAGAGAGTGGAGCAGGCAATGGAAATCATGGGGAAAAAAACAAATAATTATAGCGATATTATTCTCAGTTCCATCAGTTCCATTGTTGACATTTACAGGTGTTTAACTGTATTTTACCAACGGTAATCCAAGGGGCCCTATACATAGTCCTTAGAAAGTGTATTATTAACAAAAAGTTCATATTGATGCTACATTCAGTGTGCTTTTATTGTATGACGGCAAATATTTGTATAGTATACCATGTATAGCAACTATAGTTGTGAACGGCAAAATTAACTCTGGGTAAATATGGATTTTATAACCGAGAGGCAAATACATTGTATTTGACAGGGCAAAAGTTTTTTCTGACATACATACAGAATATATTTCATGCAGAAATATTCAACAACTGATTTTTAGTACATTAATCTCTTCGTGGAGAATTTTCAGTCTATATACACCATATTTATATGGACATGTCAATTTAAGTTTCCAGAGCAGCCCACTATTTTTTTTCCCGAAGACAAAAAAAGAGACAAACAAGCAATAAATACCTCCGTCTGCGAGGATAATTTTTCTACTTATATAATATATATACCCTGGTATATAATTATGTATATAATACCATGTTTTACAGTGAGATGATCACAAGTGAAAGAAAAGTCATTTTACAAGTATAAGCACAATTATTTTCTGGGTTTATATACAGGTTTAAAACTTACAGATGAATGTTTGTGTTTAAGAGTGAATAATTCTAAATTGATGTCTTAAACCTGTTACTGCATGAATCTTTAAATTCATTAATTTGTTTTTAATAAATATGAAATTGCAAACTATATTTTACTTGAGATTTAATTTGTAACAAGTCAGACTTTCCACTTTTTTTTTGTGGTGAAAAGTGTTTCTCCGTCCAATATTAACATGTCCATATATTACAGTAGGTTTTGTATGCTAGGCTTTTTGTGGATTTCTCTAGAATATCGGTTAAAAAATAGATTGTTTCAAGGGATAGTGTTCCCAGGGATAAGATTGACCAAAGGGAAGAATTCATAACTTGTTACAAAATTGATTAATAAAAAATGTTAAAATCATCAGTTGTTCTTTTGAATTTGGGCTATTCCAGACATAAATAGGGGGTGAGGGTGACTTTTTTCAAGGACCCTCTATACAAATGTTAACAAATACATTGTATTTGTGACCCAATAAATCATCATTAAGCGCCCCTCCTCATATTCTTATATCTGGAATAATCCTTTTTTTAGCCCACCATCAGATGATATATAGTCTGTCCTTAAACTTTATGTTATTGCTGTTTCTTTCATTTTACGACTTATAGGAAAAACAAGATGGTAGCCCGACAGCCATCTTGGATTTGCAGGTAAATGTTATTATTGCTATTTCTCAACAAGTGCTGGACAGCTCCTTCTAAAATTTCATATGTAGGTTTCTTTCGGTCCTTAGTTGTGCATGTTTCATTTTGAGACAGACTGAAGGAACTAAATGGCCCACTAATTATTTTTTTACAAATACCTGTAACAAATTTGAACGGTAAAAATCCAAGATGGCTGTCTGGTGGCCATAAAACATGCACTGCAGAGCACAACTATGACCCTATGGAAAGCAATTCACTTATATGAAATTTGAGAAAGATCTGTCCAGATCTTGGAATAAGAGCACTAACAGTTTGATTAAGGACAGATGAAGGGTGATTTGAACATCCATATGATGATGGTGAGCTAAAAGTAATTAAAGCAAGCATACACGCACAAGGAGTTCAGGTTTGTTTTGTTTATTCACATCATAACATCCGTCACATATATTTACAAAACAGGGCTAAAGTCACAATGGTATATCCATAAATGCAACAAGTAACTTTAAGCTGTTCAAATTTAGTACATATTTGGCATGATATTTTCACCACAAGCCCTACAGATTTTTCTTTTAATGTTTGAAGTAGGTCACAAAATAGAGATGGCATGTCAAGATCCTGACATGGATCACAATACTACCCAAATATTGCAGTATTTATCAATATTTAATAATAAAGCTAAAAACATGAATGTTATTTTTTGTTAGTTTTGTATTGAAACAATCTACTGACTTCATATTTCAAAAAAGTCAATTTTCATCCTCCAGTGCAACATACCAAATTAATACACTGCATAATGAGGTCAAGTGTTTTTATATAACCCTATATCACACTAGTGAGTATGTACAATCTGTCAGTGTTTATAGCACTAGGGAACTATCTATAGAGGTGGTCGGCCTGTAGATTTGCAGCAATCTCTGCCTCCCATTTATCTCCGTTGTGTAACAACTTTTCCTTGTTATATAGTAACTCTTCATGTGTTTCTGTTGAATACTCAAAGTTAGGACCCTGAAAGTGGTAAAAAAAAGTCATAACATGATACCATTTAGATACTGACAGGTTGCATGAATTGACATCTAGATTTATCCTCGTTTAAAAAACAAATTCAGCTAGAAATATATGGCAAAAACGAACTTAAATACATGTATCTCCAATTTGCCGATCCAAATGTATATCAACATTCCTTGATGACAAAACCATGCAGAAGTATGCTTGATAGACATGTACCTGTAGAATGCAAAATTAGTCTGATGGCTACAGCTATCAACTACCTTTTTTGCGAAAAGAATGGACAGCCTTAGCTATGTGAAAATGAAACTTGCATACTGATCAAGTGTGCAAAGTAAGTTTCATTGAAGTCTATTCTTGAGAAATACTCTGCGCAATGCCTGAGAGGGTAAACATTATAAAATGTATAAATAATGTATTTTACGACAACTTCTGTCTAGCGACGGAGGGACAGACTGTTTGACACGAGTCCCCCTCCCCCGACATACACACAGCTATCTTTGCTGTTGACGTATAATAAATTTGTCAAAATTGATTCTCAGTTTGGTTCCATTGCCTACTTGTTTACTTTACTTAACTTCTTTCAAAATTAGAACTTTTTGGTAATGTATAATAACAAGTTTTCTCTAAAAGGAGTACAATAAATAAAATATTTCATGTGAAATTTGATAAATGATTTCTCTAAAGTAGCCCTCAATGACATATACATTCATACATAAAAGAAGTGTTAAATTCTCTAAAAAGAAGCATTGTAAAGGGAAGTTAAAGTTATGTCATATGAGATCACAAATAATATAAAAGTTTTTACATGTCAGGAGGCCAGTATTATGTCTGCCATCACATGCCACTGATTTACAGTTCCAAGTCATCAACATTCATGTTTTATTTAAGAGGATGATACATTATCTCAGATATTTACCTCAACAATAGCGTCCACAGGGCAGGCCTCTTGACAGAAGCCACAGTAGATACACTTTGTCATGTCAATGTCATATCTTGTCGTCCGACGACTGCCATCCGCCCTCGGTTCAGCTTCTATGGTGATGGCCTGAACAGAGAAAGAAAGACTTGAGTAAGGAAAGTTTTCATCAATTTTTCAAAACAGCAAAATGTGCATTGATCAGTACGCAACAAATATGAAATATTAATCTGGAAACAAAAGGTCCAGGGACCTGAATAGCTCTGATGCTCTTTACTAATATCACATGTTAGCAAACATAAACACAACCTGAAACAAAAGGCCCAGGGACCTGAATAGCTCCTATGCTCTTTACTAATATCACATGTTAGCAAACATAAACACAACCTGAAACAAAAGGCCCAAGGACCTGAATAGCTCCGATGCTCTTTACTAATATCACATGTTAGCAAACATAAACACAACCTGAAACAAAAGGCCCAGGGACCTGAATAGCTCAGATGCTCTTTAAATGTACTAATATCACATGTTAGCAAACATAAACACAACCTGAAACAAAAGGCCTAGGGACCTGAATAGCTCCGATGCTCTTTACCAAAAACTCACATGTTAGCAAACATAAACACAACCTGAACAAAAGGCCCAGGGACCTGAATAGCTCAGATGCTCTTTACTAATATCACATGTTAGCAAACATAAACACAACCTGAAAAAAAGAGGTCACACCTTTCAATCAATAATGATAAAAAGCTACTTCCCCTTGGTCCAGGGAGCAATATACTGTACAAAATCATATTAAAACCACCTCGCCCCTACTGAGCAAGATTTTCAATCCCTTCCCTAATGTTTTGGCTAGCACTCTGCCCGTCTGCAACCAGGGGCCATTATCTTTGTGTTTGAATACAATCTTGAGTACACTTGTCCCAATAATACTTTACATCAAACCTGGTCCAAATCTATTGAGCAGTTCTGGACTTCTACTCTTTTAGATGAAAAGTTGACAGATGGACACTTAGGTAAGCTAACAAGAACTATTTAGTATCAAGCAGTTTCTTTACCTGCCAATGATAATCACATAGCCTATGATACATACCTGAGCCGGACAAACCGCCTCACACAATTTACATGCAATGCATCTCTCTTCTCCCGATGGGTAACGACGAAGGGCATGTTCTCCTCGGAAACGTGGGCTCAGAGGTCCCTTCTCAAATGGGTAGTTGATGGTGGCAGGCTCTTTAAACATCATACCTGATATGATTCCAAGTCCTGTGAAAGAAAAACATGAAAGATAAACATCAACTCCTGTTGTACATCTCTCTAATGATAAATTAAAGCCATAAACTGTCTATGGGTTTGATAAAAATATAAAACTCAAATTGTTTTTGGCATCCGGCAAAAATTATTGTGGTTTAGGGTGTACACAAAAAGTACCTACTGAAACAAAAGTCAAACAAAAGTTGCCAGAGCCGGACCACTAACTCCTTAACCAGAGGCCTTTTGCCTTGTTAGCTTCTAGACTATGAGATTATGGAAGAAGTAAGAGGAGTTGAGTACTTCTAAGTGGTGTTTGACACATCATAATCCAATTGTAAAGTTTATTAAGGGAGGACTACCGGGATTGCCTGATACAGTGTTCAAAGAGAGGTATTTGACTCATTCCATGTATTCATATGAAAGTGGTTAAGTTCATGTATTGTAATAGAAAACAGCCAGGACTGGCTTGAAAACTTAATTCAATTTGGGATGTTTCACGACTTTCGTGTTCCTAACATTCCAGCAGAATTGCTGAAGTTTCTAAAGAATCCCGGTCCCACTGCAGAGAAAATAATAGAGAATTCCTTCGTGGTTTTTCATGCATACAGCAACAATTTATTTTAGTTTTGATATAACTATGGCACTGTTGGAACCAGGGTCCTGCTGTTGACCATGTCGCTCAGTTCAAACTGTTGGTTAGAGAGACAGTGTAACTAATTATGATCCAAGTGTTCTAATTCTGGTCTGGCCCTGTTACTTTTTTTACATTCAGAACACTGCCGTTAACAATTTTCATTTAATCTTTATATAGTCCTGCCAGAAAAAATAATACCAATGCAGTTTTTGGCAGTGAAACAGGACTGTTAAGGGGAAATTATCCTGGACAAGCAAAGCGAACCGTTGAGATAGGAAGGAGGTTGAATCGTCATCATCAGCCTTTAATTTAAACAGATTTTACTGTACTCTCTTTACCTCTTAGAGTTTCCCTGAAGAACAGAATAGCAACATGGTCACTGGTCATTCCACCAAAACTAGTAGCATCTGGAGGTTTGCTTACGTCCACTAAAAAACAAAGAGAAAAGCTGATTGAGTCATAGGAAGTCAACAGGTAAATACATCATAAATCACCCTGCTTCAGCCGTTTACAGGACATGTATGGCAATTACTTTAGAGATTGTGAATTCACAATGTTTACAAAGCTCAGTAAATTCTCTTCAAAAAAAAAAGAAGAAAAAAATAGATAAATATGGTACATGTAGTTAAAAGGGCTGGTCGGGGAAAAAATGTCATATTTGCTAAAATGGCATATACATGTTTAAAATACCTTCTTATGAAATATATATATCGATTCAAATTTTGCTGAAATTCACTCCCTAAGAGTAAAAATTATAATTATATTAAAAATCCTAAATCGTCACCTTACAGTCTAAAACTCTCAATTGACCCAGTTTAGTGATGTAATTTTACCGCACGCGCATCATCAACACGGCCAAATGTAAACATCGTAGCGAAAGAAAAAGATGCATGCAAAAGTCATGACAGGCGCGAGGTATCAATACCGTTATATATAACAACAACATATAGGTAGGAATACTACACTTCCATCATACATGACCTTTGAAAACAATTATTTAAGTATAGTATTGCTGTCTTGTCCGCTAGTTGAGTCCGACATGGCACATGACGGCGTGCTCTTGTTATTATCTTCACTGCCTCACTTTCGAAACAACCACGTGACATATATAAATAGATCTGCGCTAACTTTACGCGGGGCTTCCCCGAGATTTCAGTGTCAAAACTGGACATTGCAAGCAGAACTCGACCATCATATTGCCGTGGTATAACTTTCGGAAGGCCAGAGAACGCATTTAGACCCATTTATTTCGTATTTTTTTCCCCGACCAGCCCCTTTAAAACATTATTTAAAAATAACTCCTTTAGGATTAGTGGAAATATATAAAGTGGGTATGTGTATCGTTGATGAATGACACTGTTTGTTCTTTGATCATGAGGTATTTTGTAGTGCAGAATGTAATGATCTATATATAACAAGAGACCTTGACCTTTAACCCAGAAATTCTCTGCCCTCATATGACCTTAGATGGTGCAAGGACATAAAACCCCAAATAAAAAAAGGACCTGAAAAGAAATCAATTTTATGCATGTGTTTTTGGTGTGAGGAAGCAATGTATGAAGTTTGCGTGTTATTGGCATAAGGGAATTCATGTTATTGAGAAGAAGTTCATAGTAACAGTGACCTTGACCTTTGACCAACTTATATATTACATTTACATGTGCTTGTCATGTAGTACCATAAAACATTCACAAGAAAGCTTTTTTCAGCAAGGAAGTTTTTCTTTTATTCACAAGGGAAAGGAATAAGACCCACTGAATACAGTTTAATATAAGATTGCGATGAAATATATCTTCATACTTCCACATGTACACTGTATCTAACTATCAGGTGACTGATTCTATATATATATACGTACAGTGAGTCAGAATGTCAGTTTTTCTGAGGAATGATTATGATCTGCCCCGTCCTTTACTGATACTTACTGTATTTTGACCGCTTCTGCTGATACATGCAAGCTCCTGGTCGTACTAGTTTCTGTAAATGGCCATGAGCTACAACAAAATTCATTGATATCAGAATAGATGTACAGGTATAGGCAAATATAAGTTGTCTATAATCATACCAGTAGTGAGTACTTAAATGATTATAGTAATTTTAAATGCTGTGCAACTGTGCACAAAATCATGTGATCAAATATCACTTTTCAGTCAAAAACATTGTTGAAAATGCTCTTGTAACAAGAACATTTTCAACAAAGTGTTTCTTCGATAGTCATGGTTAATGTTTCATATGTTAATGTTTATGTTCTGAATATATGCGATAACCAAATTTGCTTCCATCTTGTAACATTTTGATGAAAATTGATGAGGCCATAACAAATTGTGTACACTGACATGAGCCAGAATGAAAACGGTTGGGCATAGTACTTATATTAATACCCGGCCTCCTTTATATAAAAAAAATCTCTTGTCGTCTTAAAGCTACATTATTGCAGCTAGGTTGGGCACAGCCTCACATATGGGTAATAATACTGTATTTGGGTAACAGAAATTACTGTTTAAAGTGACAATTTTATTACTGAAATGTGAAATAAAGTGGGGAAAACCCCCCATAAAAGTTCTGTTTAATATTGATAACAGCAATGCGCGTCATTTATTCAATATAACCAAATACATACAATGAGGTACACCTGTGCACAAAAAGTTATCAATTTACATGTAAGTCTAACTTTTTGTTACAATAACATACCACTAACTTGTATTCTCAGTTGACTACAACAGTGCGTAGTAGTCACTGAGAGCATTCAGTACAATCAACAGGGTGGGCACAACGGCACATATGGGTAATAATCCTGCATACCGGTAACATAATCCTGCATTCGGGTAACATAATCCTACATTCGGGTAAAAGTTACCCATTTCAGTAATAATTTTATTACTGAAATGGGTAATAAAGTGAAATAAAAACAAACAAAGTTCTTTTACACATTATAAACAAAAAAGGGGGTCATTCTTTCAACATAATCAAATAAACAAGAGGCCGAAGGGCCTTAGCAGTCACCTGAGTTATACCATAGGTAGCTTAATTTTATTGTTTAGATGTGATGTTGAAATCAGCATGTAAACTAAGTGAAATACAATACTTGTCATGTCATCAAAGGATAAGAATTTGAAAATATTGAAAATATTCCCTTTGGGGCCCGCCCTAGCCCCTGAGGATGGGGCAGGAATCCAATGTAATACCCTCATTCACCAAAGATGATTCTGACTAAGTTTGAGTAATTTTCTGCTGAAAATGGATAAAATATACCCAAAAGTGTTATTTCCCTATATAAACTATAGTAAACTTTACCCCCTCCCCACGGATTGCTCGGGCATCCTACAATTTAAATAAAGCCCCTGATGATCTGTCCATCCATGCAATGAAAATGACTGTAGTACCTCCGAGTCTGGAGAAGAAGATTTTTGAAATATTGGTTAATTTTCGCTTTGGGGCCTCACCCTGGCCCCAGGGGTTCGGGAAGGAATCCCAATTTTGACCAAATTTGAAAAGAATCCATCCATTGGTTCTTGAGAAGAAGTTGAAAATGTGAAAAGTTTACGCATGACGGACTGAAATCGATCAGAATAGGTCACTTGAGCAAATCTCAGGTGACCTAAAAATACAATGAAGTACAATTGTGTACGAAAATATATGTAAATTCAGTTACAACTCTAAATTTTTGTGAAAATGATACATTGTATCACCTCCTTTGCTTATTGTGTGTCGTAGAGTAGCTATAAACAGCACAATTAAAAAATCATGCTCACCTGTCACATTTGCACTGGATAGTCCCATTGACTGTATACACACTGAAGTCAATGGAGAACAAAGTCAGTGATATGGGTTGTCCTTTTCACAAAAAGTTAAAAATCAGAATTGATAATTTTTTATGCACAAATGTACTTCATTGTGTTATTTATTTGAATTAGTTGACAGAATGACGCCCTTTTTGCTCCAAGTGTTTAAAAGAACTTTGTGTGTTTTTATTTCACTTTATTCCCCATTTCAGTAATAAAATTGATACTCAAATGGGTAACTGTTACCCAAATGCAGGATTATTACAATACCTAATGCTCTAAGTGTTATATTCAAGAAACAGTTCGATTTTTCCATTGGTGTACTCATTCAACACGTTTAGGTAAAGTATCATTTAAAAAAAAGTGTACTTGGTTAGAAAATGATCGTAATTGCGTTCTGTAACAGCTGAAGGTTACACTGTTCGAATGTGCGCATTCAACGTGATCACTTTATTTTATAATAGTACTTCAAATTAATTGATTGCAATCATGTTTGAGGGAATTGGGATATATCACATATTAATATTTACAAACATCACAACTCTGAGCTTCACTACTTCACATTTTACCTGCCCTAGTCGCCGAAAACAGTTTCAGGGTCGCCATGTTTGTCCTGCTGTAAGAGTTATTAGTAAGGGAGTTAATTCATTATATCCCGGGCTACGTACATTCGCGTATCCCTGTTGAAACGGTACCCGTACGAACGAACGTTCTATAAGCAGAGCTAAAAATGCACAGATTCGGAAAATAAAAAACAATGTAACAGTATGCCCTTCTTTTACGCGTCCACTGAATTACATCACGTATCTTAAAAACTAAATGTGTCTGGACTTTGATTAAGAAAGAAATAACGCAAATTGGCAATAGTCAGCATTTTAGTACCAAATTTTCATGAGGTTAGCCTCGGTCCAGATCTGTACCTGTCGTTTTCTTTACAGGTTCAACCGATTCAACCGTTTCAACCGGATACGCGAATGTACAGCAAATAAGGAGGCGCTGTGCGCTGAGATTAGATGGGGCACTATTTATGCAAAATATATGGCATGCTGATGTTAACAGCAATTATGACAATTAAGTACCACTGTATGGTGAGGGTACCCAAAATCTGAACACTTGTTTTAAAGAGAAATATTGAAAATTTCCTATAAAGTTACTGAAACAATACATGCCTTTAGCCTTCATACTCTTTATTTCTAGGTTAATTATTAACAGGACATGTGTCTATTTATATAGCTCATTAAAGAGAGTCAGATTAACTTCGAATTTTACGCTGTTTGAACACCCAAAATGGAACACTTCGTCAAAGAAGGCAGTTTATAAAATAACTGATTCTCTTAATTTCAAAAAAAAAAAAGAAATAGACAATTTCAGACAAATTTTAGTCATTTATATCCTATAAATTAATATTTTTTGAACATGTAGTTTTCCATGTTTAGAAATACATTGTATGATTTTTAAATATTTCAATCGAGTTTTTCATGAGCAATGTTTAAGAGGTACACAGATGAAATTTACTCAATATGCATACACTATATAACTACATATGTTGCTGCATCATATTAATTGATTAATGTACTACGCTGTTAGCACTAACCACGGACTTAGGTAGTCTAATTATGTGCCCTAACGTAATCTCCCCATGCATCAAATAGATAAATAAGTTATTTCGCACTAGGAGTACTGTTCCCCTCCGAATCAATCCCAGATGAAAACTGCAAAGACGTGAAATAATCGTCAGATATGATGGAGCGTATTTTGACTAAACACAAACAATGTTTCAATGTGACGTTTAAATGGAACATACATTGTTTGTGTATAAATTAAAGTAAAACTTCGATATAAACTTCTACAAATTCCGAACTAATTCGCTGAATCGTATTTAAAACCATGAAGCATATATATAAACGTTGAAATTACGATTTATTTAGGGGAAAACTAAGCTCAGTTGACTGGAATTTATTGAGTGATTTTGATGATATTAATGATGCTGTCAAAATGTCTTAGATATTTTGCTTACTATTGCTCAATCGTGTATTCCGAATAAAGAAATAACCATCAGATCTAATGAACCCCCATTGGCCATCAAACGCATATAAATAAGGAGATTAATTCGTAAACGAAAGTGCGCTCATAAAAAAGCCAAGCACACCCTTACTGAAGCTCACTGGGCAAAGTTTCGTCGACTTCGTAACAAATGTACATGTGTTAACACAATCAAGCACGCCAAATTAACATATTTTTCAAATGTATGTAGCGAACTTCGCAATCCTTCTAACATTAGTGCTAAACAATGGCGGAAATCAGTAAAGCAACTACATGTATTACCAAACTCTGGTAAATTTTGTATACCACCATTTATTCATAATAATAGCGCTGGTTTATATTAGATGACTTTGAGAAAGCTTGCTTATTTAATGACTTCTTTTGTGCCCAGTCTACAGTTGATGACTCCAATGTTAATCTCCCTAACATTAACGACGAATGTAATAATTCCTTATCTGATATTAACATCACAGCTAACGATGTCAGACTAAGGCCATTGGTCCTGACCTGGTAAATCCTCGTCTTCTTAAAGAATCAGTAAATATTATATGTGTCCCCTTAAGTAATCTCTTTAACAGGCCAATTAGATCTGGGGTATTCCCATCTGAATGGAAGTTTGTTAACGTCACCCCTATGCATACAAAAGATAACAAGTCTATATTAACTCACTACAGACCTATATCACTGCTATCGATCGTTGGAAAATTAATGGAAAGATGTGTCTTCAAATATGTCTACAATTTTTTGCACACTCACTCCCTCCTATCCCCGCCCCTAGTAGAAAAACCATTAAACCTTTTTACCCTCCCTTAAATATGAACAATACTAACATCTCTGAAGTAACTTAACATCTCTGAAGTTACTACACCCAAGCATTTATGTGTTTTTCTCTCTGGAAACGGTCATTGGAATGAGCACATCAATTATTTGATATCTAAAATTTCACCTAAAATAAATATCTTACGTAAATTTAAATTCTCTTTGGACAGGTATAGTCTCCAAACTATGTACTACACTCTTATTCGACTATGGCGATATCTTATGGGACTGCCTTACTAAAGCTCAATCTGAATTATTAGAAATCTTCAATTAGAAGCAGCACGCATAGTCACTGGCGGCACTAGGCTCACAAGTAGAGTAAACTGTATACTGAAACAGGTTGGCTTCCCCTCGAGGAAAGACGTAAACAGCACAAGCCTATTCTTTTCAAAAAATGGTTCACGGTCTGGCTCCTCAACATCTTCTAAATATTCTACCTCAGCGTAACCGAAATTATCACAAACATGATACTCGCACGGGTAATAATTTTCGTCCACCAGTTTGTCATACGATCGCGATTTTTTGCCATCTGTCATCAGTATCTGGAACTCCTTGCCTGACTATGATAAGAATGACCCTTCAATTTATAAACTTAAAACCTATCTACGCAAGCCCGCTCACACACAATTCCAATTTTCTACTTTAATGGTACCAGACTGTGGCAGATATATCATACTAGATTAAGAATGGAGTGTAGTTCCTTTAAGTTTTATCTGTACCAGAGAAATCTAATTGATAGTCCTCTGTGTTCTTGCATGCAAGCAAATAAAACCAACGAACATTTTGTGATCTTTTTTCTCAACTACGTTTACATACATTTAACGAAATCAACCATCCACTCTCAACTGATTTACTTATGTTCGGGACTGATGAGCTTACATATGATAAAAATGCTTAAATTTTGTCATCTGTACAAAACTTCATCATCCATACTAAAAGATTTGACTAAGTTCTATTCATTAAACAACGATCCTTTGTTTCACATCACCTGTTTCCTCTCCTTCTATTCTTATTGGCACGGGCATCTATATCCCCCNCCCCCCCCGTACCCGTCTTCTTTTACTCACATTTCAAATATCCCCTCGAACTATGTTTAAAAGTAAGTTACTATTTTAAGTTTTTATATTTCTTTCCATAGAATTCAGTAACGATGCCTTCATGCCTTAATATAATGAGATACATTCTCGGAAACGGAAATATATGTTATTTCAACTTGTTTCCGGATCCCATTCCTCTGTGTTTTGTATGTTATGTGGTGTCATGCAACTTAATGTGGAATGAAATACAGTTTATATTAACGTTGAAAGCGCATTCGAAACGCTGACAAAAGCAGCAGGATCAGATTGATAATTAAGGATTGAGATATTCTCATATTTAATCAAACCAAACCAATCCTCTTCAAGCTGCCGTCGTTTGAACGTTCAGACAGAGAAAAAAAACACACTAATATTTCCAGCAACTGAGTAAGGATGTTTTTTGCAATTTAAGTTATTATTTTAAGAGATATTCTATCATCGTCTACATATTTTAATATTTCTTTTATTGCTATGACTTTTTGTTATTTTGTACATATCGAAAGGAACATGTTTTCGGGGTTTACGTTTTCTGCACCCCTTTGGATGTCTTGACAAAATCGAAGCTCGCTCCCACATGTAATGCTATTTGATTAATTTCAGGTAATTTGTATCTCTATTCAGGTGTATATCATGGAATACAATGTTTTTATGATATTTCATATCCTATCGGTAAAGTCCTACCCGGTATCGATACTTTTTCCTCTTAATAAATATTCAGAAGGCCAGTCACATGCTGCTGACAATAATATCCCCTACGAAGCTGTCCTTGTTTTTGAAAGGGTTCACGACACATTTTGCTTTGATTTTGGTGTGCTGTCAGCTCAAATGTGTCGCTTGCGAAGCAAAGGTGATACAAAAGTAAGAGACCAATCCGCACAAATGGCCTCCGTTCGCCAATCTTGTAAGGAATACTTTTATTTTCATGACATTTTCTACACTTGCCTATACTGTCAATAACCCGCTCAAGTTCAATTTTGAATGAATTCTGAAAATAAACATAGCTGCCAGTTGCCATCTTGGATTTTATGACAACAATATAATTAGTGTCCATGCCGAATAACTTTTGAACGAATGTTTTGATGTTTTTTTATGAAAGCATTTTTCACTCAAGTTCCATTTGGAATCATTTTGGGCTTGATCCGATATTAAATTTGACTGCTAGTGTCCATCCCATTCTTCCTCCATGTGAAGTATGTACTCATATAAACAGTTACCACAGAGTGATAGTTAAAAAGATAAAAAAAAAAACCCAGCAAGTATGCTCGCTCTACGGGAAATGGCTGGTAGTAATTTGCCAAATGATGCCCGAAACACCTCTATGGAACTAGAGGATGCTACATCTGATGGTAGATTGATGGTTCTAGGGAGGAAGAAGTAGCGGATCATTTCTTCACTGCTGGGTGGTTTTCGGAAGTAGTGTTGTTCTAATGTTCTATAGGCATCTGACGGTATTGAAGGTGAGCATCAGCCAGGAAGGCTACCACCGGGTTGATCTGGATTTTGAATAGCAATATAAGGTGTTTCTTACTCTCCTTAACTTTTTGAGGGATTATAACATTTCAATAACAAATGATTACATAGACAGACAAATGAAACACGTAATGGTAGAAAGCCAAATACTAGATATGTACATACATTTTACATTCTAAATCTTTCCTCACGCCAAGAGGTTTCCGTCCTGCTTACCGTTTTTGTGGCACATCCAGTTTGTCTCTCCCAATAATTATTGGTGGTAATTCTTGCTGCCATACTTTGTACCTTTTCTAGTTGAGTGATCTGTTTGATGTTTTATCTGTCCCAACGAGATACTCCATTCTGGAACGCAATATGGCTTCGTAGGCAAGGGTTCGTGCTGATGTTCTGCACCCTCGACGATTACGTTTGAGGAATCCGGGGGTCTTCTGTTATATCTGGCACTGATGTTGTTGATGTGTTGCTCCCACTTTGGTTTTTGTTAATGGTAACACATAGGCATTAGCTTGAGTCAACAACTGTTGGTGGCATGTGTTTATTCCGTGCCGATAGTTCAACGCTTTGCAGTTACGTAAGTGACGTCACAAATTTCAGTATGAATTGCCATTAGCCGAGCACTCTTTCTTTCACTTCTAAAGAGACGAGGGTATAGCTTCAATACCTCCAATCCGGGTCCCTGGGGTTGGTGATTGGACGAAACACCGTGCAATCATCTGCAAAGACTCTTATAGGGTTACTTAAATTACGTACAGACAGGATTTCCGACATCGTATTTTATTGAACTTCCGGTGTACTGAACTAATACCAAAGTTCCTCAATCAAGGTCCATTCTCGGCAAAATTCCGAATTCAAGCAGATTTTTTAATGAGGCTGATGCAGTTGCTCTCATGTTGAGCAGATTGGAATCGATAAAAGATCCATTTCGACTATGTGCGACGATTTGTCGTATTCGGAACAATTTTTATACTGGTTTCTCCAGGCAGATTTGTCAAAGGTTCTGATCGGATAGTTAAATGTTAAGGGTACGGGACACTCGTCGCGAAAAAATAAATCATCATATTTTCTTCGAGACAGAAAGCATCCACTGTTCAAAATGGATATAGACCACAGAGACGTCTTCTATTCCTTCCTAAGCGTATTAAAAATAAAAGAAAGCCGTGGACAGGGTAACGCAGATGTATTTTAAGAAACAAGATAACGCATCTGTATTTTATTAGGCTGTGGACAAGATGACACAAATTTATTTGAAGAAAGCTGTGGTCAGGGTAACGCAATTTTGTTTTCAGAAAACTGAGGACAAGATTACGCAACAGCATTATAAGAAGGCTGTTGACAAGATTTCGAAACTGCGTTTTAAGAAGGTTATGGATAAGGTGATGTGGACAAGGCGACAGACACAATTTTATTTAATTAGGTTATAGGCAGGATTACGCTGCTGTGGACAAAGGGGACAAGCTAAAGGAGACGTAAATGTATTTTTAACAAGCAAATTCGTGGAATGTATATCCCCCGCTTGCTGGACATATTGTAGGTAAAACAATATTGAGGTTAGGTTTAAACATGTAAGGATCGTGCTGTTGAGACAATGTATAGCTTGAACATGGAAAAAACAACCTTATACAGAAGTAACATTTTTTTTGAACATGTAGGTATTACGGTGTAAAGTAAACTGATTGAAGAAAGCAGTGTAAATATTTGCGAGAGTTAATGAACAGAAACGGCAGATTATGTCGTTTTCCGTTATTTAAGAGGTCATCGAACTTGGCCGAGCCCTTAAGGCATTCAACCCTGTTACCAAGTTTGAAGAAAATCGGTTAACATTTGTTGTAGCTATTGCACAGAAACTGCAGATAATGACGTCTTTCGTTATTCAAGGGGCTATAACTCCGTGGTCATCGAACTTGGCCAGGTATTTAACCCGGTTACCAAGTTTTGGATAAAATCGGTTAACATTTGTTGCAGTTATTGCACGGAAACGAAGCGTGACAGACAGACAGACGGACGGACAGAACCAAATTAATATATCCCGTTTCGGTGAAAGTGGGGGATAAAAATCTGTGGACAGGGTAACGCAGTTGTATTTTAAGAAAGCTTGGGACAAGATAACGTAACTGTATTTAATTAGGCTATGGACAAGATGACACAAAATTATTCTAAGAAAGCTGTGGTCAGGGTAACGCAATTTTAAGAAGGCTGTAGAAAAAGAGACGCAATGCAACTGCATTTTAAGAAGAATGTCGACAAAAAAATAAATAAATGAATTCCCCAATTACCCGACTTACTTTTTAACAACACTTCAGTGTAAGCTGCCACATTTCCTGAGCTATAAATGTTGTTTATTGGATAGTTGGGGAAAGGTTAGTTTGCGTCAGGCAATTCACACCAAGGAAATGAAAGAAAAAATACAGTCAAAGTATTTCAAACAATCATGTCCCTCACTTCTGGACTGCCTTTGGTATCAACTACAGCGTGTCTGTGGCATGAAGGCCTCCTATCCCATGCAAATAATTAACTTTAAAAGACATGTATTATAATTAGCAATAGTGACATTGGCAATGACCTTGGGACTCTGAAGTACTAACTCATTGGGGAGAAAGTCCCTAATTGACATTCGTAAAAAAGTTTGACCAAAATCTGTAAAGAATGATGTCAGTGGATTGGTGGACAATTTCTACAAACATTAATGACCTCAGCCCTGACCTTATTACCCTGAAATATGTATCTTTCCAGAAATATTCTCATACTACACCTTTGTATACAATTTGATCAAAATAAATTAACAAGTCGCTAGAGCATTGACACTAAACAGATAGAACACAACAAACATAAGTAAAACGTCAACCATCAAGGGGCCATTTTGTTTTTTCTGATAAACTTGAATTTAAAGCAGGCATAACTTTGGACCTGGGGAATAAAATAAAGCTTGTTTCCTCAAGATCCCTCAATGCTTCCTTGGTTATTCAGTGATATTTTCATTCCTTTTGTGTTGTATGTTTTTAGTTAATTGATTTGAATATTGAATTTTAAACTATTATGTTAGTGCTGATAAGTTTTCAATGGGTGGTACTTATGGGTTTTATCAGATATTTTCAATAACTTCAATGCAGCATGGGAAAGTGCTGTCCAAAATGAAAATAAATAGCTGTCTTGCTAGTTTTATACATTTAATAGTCATTCAAGCGAAGAAATTGAATCAGCAATATGATCATACTTCTTTTAGATTTTAACAAAGTTGAACAATGTATTTAATGTACATATCATTTAAATAACATCAGAATCTTTACAAAAATTCTGGAAACTGCAGAGCCAATATTTTCACATTGGGTCCATCTGAAAGGGACATATTTATCAAAATGGAAGATATGTTAACAAACCAGCGAAATTCACAATTGCTTGTAATCTCCTTGATCCATCATGGTATATAACTTAGTAAACAAGTTAATTTCTGAACATATCAACAGTTGTTATGAATCATAAACAAAAGTCTTGACAAAAACTGGTCGTGTCAGATTCTGTAAGGAGTCTGGTTTAACGTTTTTTGTTTGTAATCCCTTTCTAACTTCATCAAGGGATACAAGTCGTTTGAACAAAATAAAGTCTATATCCAATACTTGTCATTTGGAAATTCTTTTAAATTCTCATTTAAACTTTCCACTTCAACAAAAACTTCATACAGTGAGCGTATTATATCATCCAAGTCGTCTGATTCATCTGAAACCTCATTATCTGTCGGTGGATGTACTGCTACTCCGACAACACCGGATTTCAAACTATTTTTGTACACTTCAATTTTTCCTACAGCTTGAGAGAAAAAATCAGTTTTACTGTCTTCAGATTTCAGAGACTCTGGTAATCCTCTTGACAAATACTTGTAATTAACAGCTAGCCAAGATGCCATTATTGCTGTTAAGTTGACCTTTATGTATGGTTCATTCTTAACTGATGTTAACAAAGAAATGGGAGTGCTTTCCAGGAGGACATCATGCCTTGAATCATAAAAATATATAACTAAACCTGTGCTTGTTATTCCAAAACATGGTACTGCAAAATGTCTACTCAGAGGGTGAATCTGTTGCTGAAAAAAAGGAAAAACTACAGTCTGAGCGATGGTTTGATGATTCTTTTCCATACTAGTAGTGTTTTTCTTTCCTCCGACTGATGGTTTTCCTCCTGGACTTTCAGGATCGGGGTCGTCATCTTCAATAATGTTCACCTCTACATCTTGGTTGACAATCATATCTAAACGTCCATGCCACGCCTCTTCATTCCCTGTAAAACAATTGATACAAGTTTCAGTTCTTATAATTGCATAAAAGATACCAACAAGAGGTCAAAAGGGTCTGTATCCTTTACCTTTTCTTCAAAGCTGTTGGCAAATTAAACACACCTCTATGTAACCTTCATAGTCGGACAAGATCTAGTTTATAAAACAAACTTGACAGCATGAAAGCTAACACTACAGTCTTGATAGTGTTTTATTCCAGCAAGTCTCTGGCCAAATGTATTGTACCTTCCTTAGGCCTTTTAGGGACCTTTCGGAATGCTGTAAGTTTTTCCAATCATTTGACCGTTTTAACCAGGAAAGTGGGACAAGGTCATTGGTTTAAAAAAAGTTGATAGCCCATCATACCACTGATATTATGCTACAGTCTACTGGCCATTTATAATAACCCTCAATCGTCTTGCTTATGCAGAAAACATCATTTAAAGATTTTAAACATGTTTGACCTGAAATCCTTCTAGTGAAGCAAGGTAATTCATCATTTTAACAAACATTATCAGTTTCATGTTCATCAATTCAAAATGAGGTTCATTGGTTTTAAGATCTGAATATGTTTAAAACAACTTCCATAATTTGCTCCAAGTTGGCCCAGACAGACAGTGCAAAATGTGAATAGATCAAATGCTGGTTTGTAATAATCAATTGTATATCAGAGAATACGTATAATTACCTATACTTGTATCCCCAATTAAGTGTGCCTGCCATATCACAGTCAGAGGAACAAGGACATTTAATCCTTTTCCCGATATTTTTCCCAGTACAGTACTTGTCAATAATATACCTTCCAGTGATTTGCCAGCACAATGGCAAGATCTGTCTTGTTATATTGTTCCAAGTTCAGCAGAGCAAGTTGTTTTTCTGAAATAGATAAAAAAGTGAGTTAAAAAATCACATAAATGAAGCTGACATTTTATTTCACCACTGATTTGCATATTTTAAAAGGAAACTGTCTAGCAAGTAAAAGCTGGATCATATCAACTTAACCTTTGTCTTATTCCATGACCAAACAGCATCATAGGATTTCTTTTTTATTATGGCAATAAAATGTCAAGGCTTTACAATGGAAATGGCCAGCATATTTGGTAGGGGGAAAACTTGATAGCTATTTTACAAGCACAGCATCATTACCCTCAGGCCTCTTGGTTTGATTAACATGCAGAACAAGTTGTATATATATACCTTCTGTGACTTTGAAAGTGTATCAAGGTATTTCAATATCAATAGATAATGAACCTATACTCAATATAAGGTCATTCACTCGAACAAACTTTATTTTTCCCTTTGAGTTTCCTAATATAATCATATTACTGACTACTACTGATCAAATAGCATGACCAATGTCACCTAGTTATTCATTTTTTTCTCAGTCATTTTAAGGTTTTAACACATATGACCCCAGTAACCCTGAAAGCGGATCAAGGTCATTTATTTTAACAAATTAAAAGTGACAGCCATTGATCACTCGAGCTTGCTGCTGACGAACTATCATGACCATGCGCCTCTTAGTTATTCAGAAATTCAAGGTCTGAACACAAAGACCATCATACTTACCAACATTAACAAGGTAGTGCAATAGTTTACCAAGGACGTATCTTTCAACCCTTACAGGTACGTCTTCGAGAAGTTTTCCTTCATCAAAGTCCCAAAAACTTTCCTTTTTACCAGTTTTACACTGCAGTATGCCTCAGAGAAAGGAACTCCGCCATTCACATCAGCTGCGTTGCTATTGCATGTCGCACAAGTCACGCAAGTGCAATGCAATTTGCTTTTTCATGTTTTCCGGAAATTCTGTAAATATCGGGTCAATATCATCGACACACCGTTTCTTGGTCTGACATTCTGCATTCCCTAAACTCCCTAAGGCTGAATTCGAAGGAGCGGTACTTCTTTAGAGGAACTCTTCAATCGTCAGCGGGAGTACTAATTACGGTAGAGCGAGGTCGCGTTTAGGTCTGCATAAGTACTGGATTATCTGGCGGCTGCTTCTCGTGGCACAGAAACTAATGAATGGTTAAATACCAAGGAAAACAAAGAACCGTAAGAGTAACGCGATTTAACATGTTAAGTGATGTTACCCTCCTTTTAAGCCAAATGTCAAATGATTGATGAAACGTTTTAACAACCAATTCTTCAAGACTGAATAGAGTCTAGTTTTTTTTCAATAATTACAAACAGACCCATCAATGTTCTTAAATAGGTAACGGATTGCATCTGAACGAAATACATATATTTACAGTATAAGCTTACACCACGGTCTAATCTAATTCCGTGCTTAGACTGAATAATAACGTTATTTTCCGCAGACTATAGTTATCATATAATGTGGCAATACCCTTTGATATCCGTCAAGTTCTATATGTGGATGTTGATTTATGAGAGTGTAACTGCAACCGTTATTTGCAGTGTATGAATTTGTAGCACGAGCACTACACAGTGCTAGGATTGTGTGACTACGTGCTCGGAAAATAGCTCTTTAACAAAAATATTCAAAACGTTCAACGGTACATAAAAAGTACTTAAATCGCCGCTAATTTAAAATGATTATTCTAATAATTTCAAACAATATTTCTTTTCTTAAAAAAATAATAAATGGCGCGATGCCGCAATTCGACGCCTTTTTGTGGTTTCTGATCTAAGTTTGGTGATTGGAATGAAATATATATGTAGGATATATAGGGAAATTCTACCCTTTGGATTTTCAAATTGGAGCAAAATCATCGACAAGCCTCGGGTATTACCTCTCCGGTAGAATTTTCCTATCCAACACCCCTGGGAATGAAATAGTGTTATAATAATTTTATTCTCAATAGCACTTTGGGTTGTTATTTTCTAAATTCCGAGAAGTCACATGATGTATAACGACTTCTACAACTAGTATAATAGATAATACCTACGATATCTAATAATGGTTTAAAAAATCTATAAATCCTGTGTATATATATGTACATGTAAGGTTAAACAGAAAGATGTTAACTTGAGACTAAAATTTTAGACGTTTAGTACGAATTCTTTTCACCAAGGTTGAAATTTCCCTGTCTGTGTTACACAGGAACGATTGATTATTTTCCCCCACACTTTCCTACCATACACATTTTAATTGCGAACCCATTGCACATGGTCATCATCAAAGGCGCATGGAAAGGGCGACAAACTTAATGACGCAACCCTGGGTACACTGCATACACTACAGACTAATAGCACGTGTAAACTGTCTTTCCCTAGACAGGTTTCTCTTTTCTTAGTTAAAATACGGAAGTGAACCTGTGAAATGTGGGAGAAGATGCAGTCATTCTATTGATTTTTTTAGTCTCTTTCTGTATACGTGAGGTTGGTACTTTTGAGTTACAAAGTGCAATACACAAGTTTAATTTTATCTCAGAGAAACAGTTTATTAATGCAACGTTGATAACAATGCAATATAAACATGATGTGCTAACAACACGACGTACATTTTATATTAATCCAGTTTTATTGTATTATAAAATAACTTAACCTAATAAAATGTCCATTTTCTACTGACGTATATGCTCAATATACATTTCATATATAAAACGTATTTCCAATGATACAAAAACAATTATACAGAATGTCCAGTAAAACGAAATGGTTGATTTCCAGTTGTATTCTCCGCTTATCCATTCTTGCTCGATTTGTGCATAGCTAGAAGTATTTCTGTTAGAAATAACAATAATCCTCATTAAAACATATATTAGATTGTGATGATGTGTTTTATGACATTTATAATTTGGTGTTAAGTTTCTTTTAGAAAGTTTGATCTCGTTCAACATTCGTGATGAATACATGACATGTTTACCTTATAACGGTTCAAGAATTAGAATTCATTTTGAAAATAAACAAGGCTCTGTGTACTTTTTAAATAATTTACAGCTTAATATTTCAATTACAATATAATTCATATAGGTTTTAAGAAATGAGTTGAAGAAGCATTTATTCGCAAATGTTTAGAGAACATACGTTAAATAATCAGCCGTTTAAAAAGTTGCACCTACATCTGTAGCACACACACCGGCACTTGTTTTTAATTGTTTAAGAATTTTCTATGACAAAAAATAAACTTAATATATATTTTGTATAGACATAATTGCTTTTGTGTTCAACAAATTTACAATGTGAAAGGGATGTCATAGTGATTCACGACTCATACAATTATATACAGACTGCTAAGTGAATAAAGTGGTTCTGGATCAGACAGTTGATTTTTTTTGCTCAAATACGTGTATAAAAAAATAATATCAAAGGAAAAGGTCAGACAAACCATAAGTTGTTACTTACATTACACTTTGGACATTGCCACTGCAAATAAGACCATAAGATTTAGAAAGGTCAGTCTGTACTACAAATTACAATGTCTATAATGCTTGATTTACCAGTATATTGAATACAAAGTGTTAGTCATAGAGCTTACATTTGTATACGAAATATTGAATTCATACTACGCAAGTCTTCTAGTAGCAATTTGTTTGAAAGTATTTCTGTTGCATTTAATATGTAATGTAATACACTTAAAATAATCACTCGAAATAAAGTGATAACATATTTTATAATAAAAAAATCCGAGACAAAGTGACAAACAACAGACCGACTGACGATGGAATGGACACGCAAGTTTGTAGCTCACGCAGCATCAGGGGAAGAAGCAGACTTACTTGGTTGTTTTGTAGATGTAGAAAGCAAACCAAACTATAGTTCTTACTGTATAATTCAATGATTACCTATTTTACATTGTTATATAGATATTTGTTAGTCAGGTAACACTGGTACTTAACTCGACTTTATGAAATACATTCCACACGGCAATACTCACCCTACCCTGAAAGGATAAGAAGAAAAAGAAATGAATAGTACATTTTGTTAAAATTTGCATAAAATCTATGATTAAATGATAATCTGATAGGAGGGGAATTAAAAATGCTAAAATTGGTCAATCCCATATTCATTTTCACGTTTATATAGATAGAGATATATGTAAACAATCTTTCTTTACACGAACAGTCGACAGACCTTTGCGGCATGATTAATATCTCTGTTTTCGTTATTCAGATCTAGACATATACTACAAATTATAGCAAGCGGGATCCACAGTTCGGGGAATATTTGTCAAGATAACAACGTTTCTACCTTCTTAACTTATAAACCTTCTTAACATGACTTTTTAACATATTCAAAATAAAGTTTAAGTATAGGTGTTTTATAACATATCTATTCACTATATAATGTATTAAAATCGATACTTTGGTCCCTAGAGCTTTCCCATCCTGTTACGTACCACTGTCTGAAAACAAGAAAACAACGACTTTAGATAATGTTTCTGTTAATAAAATCATATACAATGGCAATAAGCACTTCACTTTCAGGATTTATGCAAATACCATTCAGATAAAGTTTGTAACATTTTAACATAAAAAACTTTCAATTTACATTTTAAATGTTTTATTGGATTTATAATGAAAACTACAAGCTAGCTTGTTAGTATTTTTCTATTTCCATAAGTAATTTGAATTACTTACCCTTCCCTGAAATTGAAGAGAAAATACAAAATGTAAGAATTGAATTATGTAAATATAGTCAGATGAATAAATAGTCTGTATCGGTGGCGACCGATGAATGCACTGAGAAATAACAATGTTTGAATGGTCTTTGTGGTGATATCTCGGAATTTTATATTTATACGATTACAATTTAATACATCTAAGTATTTCTTTTTAATATTGATCATGAACAAAAGTGGAAAAGTCAACAAAAACAAGATAACTTACGCCCTTCTGAGACGTTTTAAATATTCCTACTGAGACATTGTCAACTAGAAATGATATCGACTTAATTTTGAAATTATTGATATTTTTTGTGTCTTTTTAGGTCGTTTACAGTAATTAGCTGTGCCAGTGATTTAGACAAACTGCTACGATCGAGTTACTTATATATACATACCAAATGCTGAAATACAACAATAAAAACATATTAATATTAGTACATGATGTAGCATAAGCTATTTTGAGAACAATACGGTATTCAATTTTGTGTAAATGCACACTTTTATGATATCAGGAATTATCTAAAACGAAAATCTATTAGACTGATCAACTGTTTATTAAACTACGTAAACTTTAAAAAGAAGCTAGAAAGATTGCTGGTAATCCTCGTTATTATGTGTTTAAGAAATGTATCATTACTGCGTTCATTTATAGTCGTGGAAAACTGTATAAGATTTAACGTTAGATACTTACAATGAAGTCGGAGCCTCGGTACTGAAATAACAAGAACAATATCTTTAATCAAATAACAATTCCATTAGAATCTTTCATAATACATTCTATTCTGTAGGTCACTTTATGAAAAGCTTCCATAATGTCAAATACGAATGTCACGTTATTATGTACTAAATTATCAGTTATCTAAGAATGTGCATAGTATTTTCAGTTATATAACTATTTTCAACGTTTTTGAAAATTTATCTTTTTTAAAAGCGAAATGGGGGTATACTAATAAACACATAGCCTTTCAATCTATGACATATGAACTATTGTTGCGGTCCACATTTCAATGAAATATTTAAGACAGAGCTGACAATGTATACATATTCTTTTTATCTCCATTAACCATAGTCCATATTGAAACGTTAAATGTTTATGTACTTACGTTGCACTTCGAACAAGTTTTCTGAAATAACAAAACCGTAAAATTGAAAGTATAACATATTAAAATAATTTCACTCCCTATTTAAACATCTAGCGTTTGTTCAACATCTAGCGTCCTTTAATATCGAAATCGATTAAAATGTGTTAACAAAAAGTATCTAAAAAATAATGACTTCAAAACACTACATATATTGAATATTAAAACTTAATCGACACTTACACATTTGCAATCCTTGTTGCCACACGACTGAACATGAAAAGAAAGAGAGAAACGTTCCAGTTGTTATAGCAATATTTGGTATACAATAATAGTACATGATACACTTTCTAAAATATAGATGATATTATTTCCCTGTTTCCGTACATTTATTATATAATCGTAGAGTTACATATATATATCTAGAGGAGTAGTTTATGAAATTGCAAACAAAATATCATTTATGCTCAGATGGGATATATATTATTATAATTATATATATTATAATAACATGGGTTTTAAGTAGAATTATCGCTATATTGATAAGCTAGGTTTACAAGTATCACGTTGCATCAAGATTCGTAAGCGCCATTCCACCATTTATAAATGGCATTCATTTCATACTTACGTTGCATCCCGTTGAAACCTAAAAATATAAGAAAACTTTTTACATAATAACATACAGTGTACATAGCTATCACAGTTACTATCTCCAAAAGGGTATCCTATTCACTAAGTAACTTATATCAGCGTTAACGTTGATGTAGATAAGAAAACTTTAGTAAAACACACAGTTCACCATGAACAAATACCTGACAACACACGTACATTGGGACTCAAAAGTTTGATTTGACATCTAGCTACATTAATATTGTGAAAATTTAATTGGTACGACATATAACATTCATACTTACTTTTTTCGCTGGGTTGGTTTGCTTCTCTTTAATAGATTCTGAGGCCCTGGAATATAAATTTACTAAATTACACACACACATAGAAATACACCGATTTATTTTTTAGTCGGCTTTATATGATCATATGTATATATATTATATGTATATACTGTACAAAGAATGTAGACCTGTTTTAACATTTGAAAAGGTTGATTTATGTTCTCAGATAAATGTAAAACAAGCAAATATATTCGTGAGGAAAAAGAAAAGTTGTATCGTTTGATAGGCATATATGATATTATGATAATAGGAGAATCTTTATCTTCCTGTTTGGAGACATGCACTTACTTCGATTCTTGCTTCACAAGGAGATGAACGAGCAATTTCCGAATTTCCTCTGTTGATATTTCACCCTCATCAACGGTGAATCTGGGTTTCCACGGGTGATCAATATCTTTGTACTGTTTACTAGCTATTTGTGACGCACTTATGACGTCAGATGTCCTGCTGGACTTCAGAGAGGTTTTGCATGTAGTAATATCAGATTCAATTTCTGCGAAACGTTGCAACACTTTAGCATTGTAACTTTTTAACTTCTGTTCATAAGCGAGATGGGTATCGGCACATTCCGCCTTGCACTCGTTGATCAATTTATCCAAATGTTCATGGAGTTGTTTTCCTCGCCTGTCAATGTTTTCCATTATATCTGCACCTTGTGTTTTATTGTCGGCCACCTCCTCAGTTATAACCGCGACAGCCTGTTTCATCGAATCCACCTTCTCTCTCTTCGTTTTCTCAACAAACTGTTGTACTTGTTTTCGAAGAACAGGTATATGGTCATCAACTTTGACTACTTTGTGTTTCGAATGGGTCGACTTTATACAATCGGTGCAGACTGGAAGATTTGAACATTGGACACACACAAACAGTGACTCTGTATCATCGTGAACAGCACACGGTAATTCTAACTGACCGCCAAAACTGACCTTTCCTCCTTTTGTTGGCATGCTTATTGCTAGTGAGCTGAAACGGGATTCGTAATTATCGTTAATATATATAAAGTACAAGCAAAGTACCTTTCAAAACATAAAAAAAATCCAATAGATTATCTGTTATATTCATAATTTCACATATGATTATTTAATAAATTCATCATGGCATTAGTAGGTCTGTTCGAGAAAGATTATATTAGGCGCGCTTAAAGTTCAACAAGCCCTGTAAAAGATGTAATAGTCACCCTAAATGTCAACCCCTTGGCAAATCATATTCAAAAACCCTTATAAACAAAATCGGAATATATATATGAAATTTAAATATATTGGACTTATACATGAGTTATTAAAAAGGTACATAACCAGGTTAACGAAATCAAAATACGCCATTAAGGCTGATGTAATGATAAAAGTTGCTCACCAGATTTATAAAATGTCAATCTCTTAAGCGACCCAACTGAATGTTACGAAATGACATGTTATTTGAAGATCATTTACATACGTAGGTCATGCGGGACTATATATTCACTTTAACTATGTGTGGAGAGGCGAACAGGCCTCACACGAAGAAGATTGTTGCTATGGGAAAGTACAAAAATCATAGTAAAACGTTCGTGTATCATATTTTACCGGTATATATGTGTAAAACCATAGACCTTTGACCATCACACTACTTAAACTTCTAAAATGTCCTTTCTTAACATTCAATGTTGTTATAAAAGAGCTAGACTTGTTATAAACATTATCGTACTTTTCAGCGTTAATGTTTATAACAAGCCTAGCGCATTCATATAATCACAGAATGTTATCAAATGGCACATCATCTAAAGTCCATTTATCGATCAAGGTTACTTACCATTTGTTTTCTTATTTATAATTTGTTAAAATGTATTACCATTGGATTTAACTATGATTATAGTGGTTTCGCATGGAAACATCTATCTTTATTTCAGGTCGGAATTCCTGTCAACAGCTAGTAGAAGAGAAATAAAGCTCCGCATGACCTAGGTACATGTATATAAATAAATCTTAAATTATGCGTCACTTCGTAGTATTCAGTGGAGTCGCAAAAGAGATTGACATGTTGTAAGTCCGGTGAGCTATATTTATGAAGACATCAGCCTTAATGCCTTATTTTGACTACGTTAACACGGCTATGTATTTGTTGTATAGCCAATATATACAAATAACATATATATGTTCCGATTTTTACTGGTGTTTGAACATGAATTATCAGGAGGTTGAAATTTTAGTTGACTACAGCATCTTTCAAGGGACTTGTTGAATCTTACAATTTAGAAAATCACACTTTAAATGAGATATGCATTTGCTATTGATTTCGTTCACGAGACTACCAAATACATATGTACTATTTTAAAACGAGTATCAATTTATGGCATATTTCATATGTTTTGGCTGATTTTTGAAATTACTGTGCATTCGTAAACCCACTTTGTAAATAGCAAATGTAAACATAAAAAATAGATCATGATTTCCGTTCTTAAGAAAAACAATTCTGATCATGATTATTTACAGTATGAATATTGTGAAGAATTTGTACGGTAATGACACGATTGACTACGAGGGGAAAACGATCTGTAAAGTTATATTAGTGTGTCTTAGTGCGTTGTTAACCGGTATTATTGTACCTTTGCGTTCATTGATTTGACTAGACATATCTTGATGGATGCTGTTTGTGACACAGGATATACTCATCCTCCTGGAATACTTTTACCCCCTCCGGTTTATTTTTTGTACGATTTATTCGGTCCTTCCTATTATGAGGTGTCTATTATGGTTGCTGCTGTTGTCCGTTCTCACAGTTAATGTTTTTGAGCTTTTATAAAGGGAATTAACACTCAGTACAGAGTTTCTTGTTTGCTGATACCAGAATATATATTTCTATTTTATTATCCCCCGCTTTCACCTAAACGGGGGATATTAATTTGGGTTTGTCTGTCTGTCACGCTTCGTTTCCGTGCAATAACTACAACAAATGTTAACCGATTTTCTTCAAACTTGGTCACAGGGTTAAATGCTTTAAGGGCTCGGCCAAGTTCGATAACCACTTTCAGTGGACCCCATTTGGCGGAGTTATGGCCCCTTGAATAACGAAAAACGTCATTATCTGCTGCGTTTCGTTTCTTTGGTTTTCGTGTGATAATTGCTTTAGATATTGTTAAGATGTTTCAACAAAATTCGTTATGCACATCCAACTCATGCTAAGTTTGCCAACCGATGTGATTTGTACATATTTACGGATAATCAATGAGGTAAAGGGCTTTTCTTCTTCAAGTTTCAAGCTATACATTATGTCTCAACAGCACGATACTCATCTGTTTAAAGAAACCTAACCTCAATAATGTTAACCTACAATATGTCCTGCAAGCAGTGGATATAAATTCCACGAATTTGCTTGTTTTCAGTTCATTTCAACATTTAATGATAGAAGTCCGGTCTTTACAAGGGACATTTAAGTGTGTTTGATGTATGGTGTCTTAATTTAGGATTGCATAATTCTGTCGTAATACTATGATATACCGGAGGTGTGTTTCCTATATGGATTATTTTATCAACATCGACATCCGAATCTATCCTATATATATGTATCGGATATAATTATGTCAATAATCCACCTTGAGCAGGACATGTTTATCCAGTCACGTATACTGTACTACTGTACGTACATACGTCGTTGGTGGGGACGGGTCTGTTTATGTATAATTAATCTTGTTATAATTTACTATTCACTACACACATGACATACCCACACATTCATTTCCCTTACACCGTTCGATTGTGTACCTACCTTTCTTTAGATCAGTATTTTACAGGTGTCGGGCCGTGATGTCTGTGATCAACATTGACAGGAAGCTGTACCTGGTTATGTTCTGAAGCAAGATTTACGTGCAGTTTGTAATCACTTTGTGTAGGTCTTCGGATACCCTAGTACTTTCTACAGATATACTATATAAATATCGGTAGTTCGGTACGAATACACACCGCGACCTTGTCTATAACTAGTATAAACATGTACAGCTATCGATCGGACCCACAGACTAAACCGAAGTCAGTGTGGTGCTTAATACAACGGGCATTTAAGTTATATATCTATTTTTAAACGTATGTCAACGTATGATTAACACCAGACTGAAAATCTTTTGAAATCTCATTTCATATCTTGATGAATTTTCATATGAATACACGTCAAAAATACTAAGGTGAGCTTATGCCATACCGTGGTGTCCGTCATCCAATTGTCCGTCTGTCAAAAAAGTCTTCAAACGACTACTTCTGAATGTCTGATTCGAGTTCATCCAATTTTACTGGAAGGACCCGCAAGAGGTAGGGATTCAAATTTGTACAAATGTTGGAGCTGGGCGAAAAATGGGTAATTTCGCCATGTTGATTTAAAACATGTTAGCCTTAGTACGTTGATCACTTGTTTACATTGTACCTACACGTTTCTTGATTTGACTACGAATAATATGATGGGTGCTGCGTGTGACACAGGGAAGTCTTTATCCTTCCGCAAAGTTTAGAACTTTGAGAGAGATATAATCCATATTCGGTTGGAAGCTGTCTCAGTTGGGGATTCAATATTGTACAAATTGAGGGGCTCACACCTGGGGGATCGATCCGAGAGGCTGCGCCAAGGGGGGTAATTTGGCCATATTGCTTTAAGCGAATACCAGCTATTCCCTTTTAAGAATACCTTGATGGTGTGGATAAAAATTGTACCAGTTCTAGAGCTGACCTTTAGGCCGAGGGAAGGGACAAAAAAACAGTTTACAACTTGGAAACATATGCTTCCTAGATGGCTCCAGGGGGCCTCACCCCGGGCGACTTAGTCCCTTGGTCATTACTTTCATACGGTTGGAAATTCTCATCAAATTACCACATATGCAATGACTTGGCATGGAAAACGTAACAGAGATTGCCACCAGGATCAGCTTCTAGGTAACTGAATGATACTCTGGGTCGCAATATTCAAATGACCACTCCTTTACCGTATGAACAAAATCATGCTTCTAAAATAAGTCTTGGGGTTTGCCCCAACTTTAAGGACTTTGTCCCTCCTGGGTCGTAACAGAAACATTTGAAATTCCTACCTTGTAACAACATATACGATTGCTTTGTATAAAGATTTGGTTACACAAAAGCTACCACGTTTATCTTAGTCTCCGAGTACTGGGTACCGATACCACTTTTATCAGAAAAGTTTGCCATGATAGCTTAAATATCCACGGTAAGGGTAAAATAATAATCGTTTTTGAAAAAATTAAAGACACCTTTTTTTCTACAGTGAAAGATTTTAGAGACTAAATTCCTTGTATTTACAGAGTTTCTACAGGGTGGTTCCGTCTTGTTGTATTGATACATTAACAACAGAACACAAACCTTTGTGATTGCGTCCGATAGTATATGGGGAAGTGGAGGGAATCGTGTCTTTTTGTGTTCGTGTCTCCTTTGTTTTTATAATGGTCCTTTTGTGAAATTCTGTTCATTTATGTTGACGCGGATATATTGGCTTTTTTCCTCGAATTAAATAAATAAGGATTGAAGCGCAGTAAAAATGAATTATTTAATAAAAGATGCAAGAATATGGATTGAACGGCGTTTTTAAAATGTCCATGCCGGTATGAACGCAAATCGGTTACATCCATATTAAACATGAAGCCCTGGCCAGCTTCAGGCAATATGGATGTAACTGGTTTGCGTTCATACAGACATGAAAATTAACCCAAAAAAAAAAGCCGTTCAATCCATATACTTATAATTTTTTTTGATCAAATAATTCATTTTTTACTGCGTTTTGTATATGCGTCGGCCTTTAAACGACACTGGGGAAACAGCCCTATTTAAATAAAATTGGCGTAAATAAGTAACCGGTCATTTAAGCGTTTGACGCAGGGGCATTCTCCATGTTATCTGAAGAGAAGTGACAAGACTCTCATTGAACAAGGTTAATCTATGATGTCATTTAAGTAAACCACGTGTTACGTCATGAGAGTTTTTGCTTTCATACTCAAATGAAATGCATTTTTGCAGGTAATGTTCATATAGTTGGTTGCAGCGCAAATGTAAATATAAATTTGAATGTTCACAATAACAAGAGGCCCATGGGCCTAAACGGTCACCTGAGTCTACAGTATTTATTTTTGTAGTTGAAATATGTACCAATTTGAGTAAAAAATAGTATAATGTTAACTTAACTTTGTCAGGACCATGAGCTGATCATTCCTAGACCAATTTTAATTGAGATCGGCCTATTAGAACTTAGTAGCAAAATAGCGGCCATGGCAGCCAAATCGTATTTCTGATTGACTCGAAAAATAACAACACTTTGTCAGGACCATGAGGCGATCATTCCTACCAACTTTCAGTTCAATCGGTCCAGCAGAACTTGACTTTAAGTTTGAAATAGGTTTTCAAAATGGCGGCCGTGGCGGCCATATTGGATTTCTGATCGACCCGAAAAATAACAACACTTTGTCAGGACCATGAGGCGATCATTCCTACCAACTTTCAGTTCAATCGGTCCAGCAGAACTTGACTTTAAGTTTGAAATAGGTTTTCAAAATGGCGGCCGTGGCGGCCATATTGGATTTCTGATCGACCCGAAAAATAACAACACTTTGTCAGGACCATGAGGCGATCATTCCTACCAACTTTCAGTTCAATCGGCCCAGCAGAACTTGACTTTAAGTTTGAAATGTAAAATGTTAACGGACGACGGACGACGGACGACGACGGACGAAAACGGATAGCAATAGGTCACTTGAGCTAAAGCTCAGGTGACCTAAAAATCGGTGGAGAGCTTTACGGAATATACGTCATTCTAACAAGTCTTCGCAATTCACGATCCAAATTGGTGAATCGGATCACTACTTTTTATTTGAGATGATGGTGTTTTTTCCCCGCATTATGAAACTCGTACGATCTTCTGTTTTTCTTTGTTTCAACATTACTACATTACATGTCAAATAAAAATATTACTGTACGCAGTTTTTATTTCTTCGTAGATCGTTAGAAAGTGTAAACAAAAAATTAAAATGACTGGTGCACTATTGGGTTTATAGTCGTTGAAACAATGAAATACAATTGGTTCCATGTTGATATCTGTTTTAGATACCAATGCCTCTCCCGATCACAACATTGTTCAGTCCTAGTCGCTATTTGATCTACAAATCATTTGAATAACATCAAAACTGTCAGCAGGTTTTAAATCTTGAACTTATACACCGTCGTTTTAAAACGTCCGACTGAAATACTTTCAAACTAATAATTGATTATATAAGGGTTAATGTCCTATTAACAGCTAAAGTCATGGACTTTTACAAACTCATGATGATGTATAAAAAACTAATTCACATTTTTTCGTAACTCCCTTTATTAATCACGATACACTACTTAGTTCAAATACTTGTCGAAAGCTTAAAAACACACACACACACACACACAACTTTTTATTATTCTTTGTCACGTGGCGGAGTCTGATTCTGTGGAGTCTGATTTAGTGTCTGGTTTGTAATCCCTTTCTATCTTCATCAGTGGTATATTGCCTGGAAATGAAAGCAAGATGAAATAAATTTCATAAAACAACGTCCATTTTATTGTAACTGTTTGAAACAAAATATTGTTAAAGTAAAACGTTCGTGTCGTTGATATATTCGAGCACTCGCTTATTCAGCGCGCAATTACACATATATCGACACCTTTTGAAATACGAAATACTACAAAAAGAATAAAAATTCCACTTAAACAGGAATTGTACATTTTTAATACTTCTACTTTTTATATATTTATTCCGTTTTTTCATTTTACTAAACATATCATTGCATCATATTGCCTTTTCATCCATTTAGAACTCATCAATAGTACTAAAGCTGAAGTTTGAACATACGTGTTTAACGTAATCGGAAACATGTGAAATACAGCGAAAGGGAAAAGTGCAAATAAAACCATGTATAACGTTACAAATACATCTGAAGACAACAGACAATTCATTTTTAACATGTTATCAGTGCCATAATAAACGTTATTCCAAAAATAAATGTATGTGGAGGGTAGACACTTGGAACTTATGGTTTATGGAACTCTAATGCTTTGTTGATGTTTCATTTAGTGGCATTTAGCTGACATAATAAGGCTAGGTTTGTTGATTTTCTCCTATCTAGTGACATTTAGGTGACATAATAAGGCTAGGTTTGTTGATTTTCTCCTATCCAGTGACATTTAGCTGACACAATGAGGTTAGGATTTTCTCCTATTTAGTGACATTTAGCTGACATAATAAGGCTAGGTTTGTTGGTTTTCTCCTATCTAGTAACATTTAGCTGACATAATAAGGCTAGGTTTGTTGATTTTCTCCTATCTAGTGACATTTAGCTGACATAATAAGGCTAGATTTGTTGATTTTCTCCTATCTAGTGACATTTAGCTGACAATATAAGGCTATGTTTGTTGATTTTCTCCTATTTAGTGACATTTAGCTGACATAATAAGGCTAGATTTGTTGATTTTCTCCTATCTAGTGACATTTAGCTGACATAATAAGGCTAGGTTTGTTGATTTTCTCCTATCTAGTGACATTTAGCTGACATAATAAGGCTAGGTTTGTTGATTTTCTCCTATCTAGTGACATTTAGGTGACATAATAAGGCTAGGTTTGTTGATTTTCTCCCATCTATTGACATTTAGCTGACATAATAAGTCTAGATTTGTTGATTTTCTCCTATTTAGTGACATTTAGCTGACATAATAAGGCTAGGTTTGTTGATTTTCTCCTATCTAGTGACATTTAGCTGACATAATAAGGCTAGGTTTGTTGATTTTCTCCTATCTAGTGACATTTAGCTGACATAATAAGGCTAGGTTTGTTGATTTTCTCCTATCTAGTGACATTTAGCTGACATAATAAGGCTAGGTTTGTTGATTTTCTCCTATCTAGTGACATTTAGCTGACATAATAAGGCTAGGTTTGTTGATTTTCTCCTATCTAGTGACATTTAGCTGACATAATAAGGCTAGGTTTGTTGATTTTCTCCTATCTAGTGACATTTAGCTGACATAATAAGGCTAGGTTTGTTGATTTTCTCCTATCTAGTGACATTTAGCTGACATAATAAGGCTAGGTTTGTTGATTTTCTCCTATCTAGTGACATTTAGCTGACATAATAAGGCTAGGTTTGTTGATTTTCTCCTATCTAGTGACATTTAGCTGACATAATAAGGCTAGGTTTGTTGATTTTCTCCTATCTAGTGACATTTAGCTGACATAATAAGGCTAGGTTTGTTGATTTTCTCCTATCTAGTGACATTTAGCTGACATAATAAGGCTAGGTTTGTTGATTTTCTCCTATCTAGTGACATTTAGCTGACATAATAAGGCTAGGTTTGTTGATTTTCTCCTATCTAGTGACATTTAGCTGACATAATAAGGCTAGGTTTGTTGATTTTCTCCTATCTAGTGACATTTAGCTGACATAATAAGGCTAGGTTTGTTGATTTTCTCCTATCTAGTGACATTTAGCTGACATAATAAGGCTAGGTTTGTTGATTTTCTCCTATCTAGTGACATTTAGCTGACATAATAAGGCTAGGTTTGTTGATTTTCTCCTATCTAGTGACATTTAGCTGACATAATAAGGCTAGGTTTGTTGATTTTCTCCTATCTAGTGACATTTAGCTGACATAATAAGGCTAGGTTTGTTGATTTTCTCCTATCTAGTGACATTTAGCTGACATAATAAGGCTAGGTTTGTTGATTTTCTCCTATCTAGTGACATTTAGCTGACATAATAAGGCTAGGTTTGTTGATTTTCTCCTATCTAGTGACATTTAGCTGACATAATAAGGCTAGGTTTGTTGATTTTCTCCTATCTAGTGACATTTAGCTGACATAATAAGGCTAGGTTTGTTGATTTTCTCCTATCTAGTGACATTTAGCTGACATAATAAGGCTAGGTTTGTTGATTTTCTCCTATCTAGTGACATTTAGCTGACATAATAAGGCTAGGTTTGTTGATTTTCTCCTATCTAGTGACATTTAGCTGACATAATAAGGCTAGGTTTGTTGATTTTCTCCTATCTAGTGACATTTAGCTGACATAATAAGGCTAGGTTTGTTGATTTTCTCCTATCTAGTGACATTTAGCTGACATAATAAGGCTAGGTTTGTTGATTTTCTCCTATCTAGTGACATTTAGCTGACATAATAAGGCTAGGTTTGTTGATTTTCTCCTATCTAGTGACATTTAGCTGACATAATAAGGCTAGGTTTGTTGATTTTCTCCTATCTAGTGACATTTAGCTGACATAATAAGGCTAGGTTTGTTGATTTTCTCCTATCTAGTGACATTTAGCTGACATAATAAGGCTAGGTTTGTTGATTTTCTCCTATCTAGTGACATTTAGCTGACATAATAAGGCTAGGTTTGTTGATTTTCTCCTATCTAGTGACATTTAGCTGACATAATAAGGCTAGGTTTGTTGATTTTCTCCTATCTAGTGACATTTAGCTGACATAATAAGGCTAGGTTTGTTGATTTTCTCCTATCTAGTGACATTTAGCTGACATAATAAGGCTAGGTTTGTTGATTTTCTCCTATCTAGTGACATTTAGCTGACATAATAAGGCTAGGTTTGTTGATTTTCTCCTATCTAGTGACATTTAGCTGACATAATAAGGCTAGGTTTGTTGATTTTCTCCTATCTAGTGACATTTAGCTGACATAATAAGGCTAGGTTTGTTGATTTTCTCCTATCTAGTGACATTTAGCTGACATAATAAGGCTAGGTTTGTTGATTTTCTCCTATCTAGTGACATTTAGCTGACATAATAAGGCTAGGTTTGTTGATTTTCTCCTATCTAGTGACATTTAGCTGACATAATAAGGCTAGGTTTGTTGATTTTCTCCTATCTAGTGACATTTAGCTGACATAATAAGGCTAGGTTTGTTGATTTTCTCCTATCTAGTGACATTTAGCTGACATAATAAGGCTAGGTTTGTTGATTTTCTCCTATCTAGTGACATTTAGCTGACATAATAAGGCTAGGTTTGTTGATTTTCTCCTATCTAGTGACATTTAGCTGACATAATAAGGCTAGGTTTGTTGATTTTCTCCTATCTAGTGACATTTAGCTGACATAATAAGGCTAGGTTTGTTGATTTTCTCCTATCTAGTGACATTTAGCTGACATAATAAGGCTAGGTTTGTTGATTTTCTCCTATCTAGTGACATTTAGCTGACATAATAAGGCTAGGTTTGTTGATTTTCTCCTATCTAGTGACATTTAGCTGACATAATAAGGCTAGGTTTGTTGATTTTCTCCTATCTAGTGACATTTAGCTGACATAATAAGGCTAGGTTTGTTGATTTTCTCCTATCTAGTGACATTTAGCTGACATAATAAGGCTAGGTTTGTTGATTTTCTCCTATCTAGTGACATTTAGCTGACATAATAAGGCTAGGTTTGTTGATTTTCTCCTATCTAGTGACATTTAGCTGACATAATAAGGCTAGGTTTGTTGATTTTCTCCTATCTAGTGACATTTAGCTGACATAATAAGGCTAGGTTTGTTGATTTTCTCCTATCTAGTGACATTTAGCTGACATAATAAGGCTAGGTTTGTTGATTTTCTCCTATCTAGTGACATTTAGCTGACATAATAAGGCTAGGTTTGTTGATTTTCTCCTATCTAGTGACATTTAGCTGACATAATAAGGCTAGGTTTGTTGATTTTCTCCTATCTAGTGACATTTAGCTGACATAATAAGGCTAGGTTTGTTGATTTTCTCCTATCTAGTGACATTTAGCTGACATAATAAGGCTAGGTTTGTTGATTTTCTCCTATCTAGTGACATTTAGCTGACATAATAAGGCTAGGTTTGTTGATTTTCTCCTATCTAGTGACATTTAGCTGACATAATAAGGCTAGGTTTGTTGATTTTCTCCTATCTAGTGACATTTAGCTGACATAATAAGGCTAGGTTTGTTGATTTTCTCCTATCTAGTGACATTTAGCTGACATAATAAGGCTAGGTTTGTTGATTTTCTCCTATCTAGTGACATTTAGCTGACATAATAAGGCTAGGTTTGTTGATTTTCTCCTATCTAGTGACATTTAGCTGACATAATAAGGCTAGGTTTGTTGATTTTCTCCTATCTAGTGACATTTAGCTGACATAATAAGGCTAGGTTTGTTGATTTTCTCCTATCTAGTGACATTTAGCTGACATAATAAGGCTAGGTTTGTTGATTTTCTCCTATCTAGTGACATTTAGCTGACATAATAAGGCTAGGTTTGTTGATTTTCTCCTATCTAGTGACATTTAGCTGACATAATAAGGCTAGGTTTGTTGATTTTCTCCTATCTAGTGACATTTAGCTGACATAATAAGGCTAGGTTTGTTGATTTTCTCCTATCTAGTGACATTTAGCTGACATAATAAGGCTAGGTTTGTTGATTTTCTCCTATCTAGTGACATTTAGCTGACATAATAAGGCTAGGTTTGTTGATTTTCTCCTATCTAGTGACATTTAGCTGACATAATAAGGCTAGGTTTGTTGATTTTCTCCTATCTAGTGACATTTAGCTGACATAATAAGGCTAGGTTTGTTGATTTTCTCCTATCTAGTGACATTTAGCTGACATAATAAGGCTAGGTTTGTTGATTTTCTCCTATCTAGTGACATTTAGCTGACATAATAAGGCTAGGTTTGTTGATTTTCTCCTATCTAGTGACATTTAGCTGACATAATAAGGCTAGGTTTGTTGATTTTCTCCTATCTAGTGACATTTAGCTGACATAATAAGGCTAGGTTTGTTGATTTTCTCCTATCTAGTGACATTTAGCTGACATAATAAGGCTAGGTTTGTTGATTTTCTCCTATCTAGTGACATTTAGCTGACATAATAAGGCTAGGTTTGTTGATTTTCTCCTATCTAGTGACATTTAGCTGACATAATAAGGCTAGGTTTGTTGATTTTCTCCTATCTAGTGACATTTAGCTGACATAATAAGGCTAGGTTTGTTGATTTTCTCCTATCTAGTGACATTTAGCTGACATAATAAGGCTAGGTTTGTTGATTTTCTCCTATCTAGTGACATTTAGCTGACATAATAAGGCTAGGTTTGTTGATTTTCTCCTATCTAGTGACATTTAGCTGACATAATAAGGCTAGGTTTGTTGATTTTCTCCTATCTAGTGACATTTAGCTGACATAATAAGGCTAGGTTTGTTGATTTTCTCCTATCTAGTGACATTTAGCTGACATAATAAGGCTAGGTTTGTTGATTTTCTCCTATCTAGTGACATTTAGCTGACACAATAAGGCTAGGTTTGTTGATTTTCTCCTATCTAGTGACATTTAGCTGACATAATAAGGCTAGGTTTGTTGATGTTGACATTTACACTCCTTGCTTGACAAAGGAAACAAACGTTTTCGAAAGCTTTCAGTTCCTGTTTGTGTTCAACATAAACTTAGCCTTTATTATTACTTCCAAACAAATGAATCTTATTCTGAATTTAAGTTGACATGTTTATATAAGTTAGTTATAGAAGTTACTCAGTGCTTTTCATGTTTATAGAACTTGTTATTAATGGCGGAAGCTTTTCATTTTTTCTCGTCAGATTTAGTTCTAGAGGTTCCCCAATTGGCGATGATATGTTATCATGTTAATTGATAAGAATTATGGTTTGACAATCAAATACCCTGTATGTCGTTGACTTTGTGAAGAGTCAGACACTCCAATAGTCTTACCCTGTATGTCGTTGACTTTGTGAAGAGTCGGACCCTCCAATAGTCTTACCCTGTATGCCATTGACTTTGTGAAGAGTCGGACCCTCCAATAGTCTTACCCTGTATGTCGTTGACTTTGTGAAGAGTCAGACCCTCCAATAGTCTTACTCTACAGAACCTTACCTGGTGGGGCTACGAAGTAGTCCTCTACAGTCTTGGTTGCATTACTTATGATGTCTTTCCTACAATTCCCGTCAGTAACATCATCATCCCTCAGATGTAACACTCTGTAATTCATAGTAAATTTTATTTACGTTCCAGCTTTATTATTTATAAAAAAAATACATTTTAGAAGGTGCCGCATAACTCCTAGTAACACTGATATCCTTCTCTTTTTCAACTGAAATAACTAAGCTAACTCTAACTTAGATATCTTGAAGCAAAACAATATCAATTGAAAAGGTTACATTCACCTTGGCGCTGAATTGAAATTGCTAAGAAGAACAGGAAACGAAACAATGAAATGTAGGACAAATCTGTATTAAATGTATGCCTTACTTTGTCAACCATGCAGTGTATATCCCTCGTTCGATCAGTCACTGTCTTATAACATGTTAGTAAAGCATCCATGGTTCGCATTAACTTGAGGTAAACAGGTTGTTTTGACACAGAAAATATGAAATGTATATGTCCTACAGTGTATTATCATTAACATCATTCATATTTGTATATTAATCAAAATTTTTGGAATCTACTATTCCGTCTTTGCGTATTGCAGAGTTATCTTCTCTTGGGAGCAGGTATTGATTGTTACGTCACTTGTTTGTGAGAGTAACGTCATCAGTTTTTGAGAAAACGACGTAATTTTCTCGCACAAACCAATGACGAAACAATCAATACCTGCTCCCAAGTGAAGATAACTCCGCAATACACAAAGACGGAATAACGATAACGCAGCCATATTTTGACTTATTTCGCCGATCAACTGTGTCATAGCAAAACAATTTTGAAGTTATCTTCAAATCATGATCAAGTCAACATCTCACTGGGAACTGGCTTGTTATCGGTGATAAGCATCAACACTGATTTCAAATTGTGTACGGTACTGACCTGTCCTCCAACACCGTGTCCAGCGGCTCAACACCGTCCGTGTCCACCGTGTACAGTCTGTTGACTGATTGAATCACTTTAGTGAGACGATCAACTCCAGCTTTGTTGTTAAACTCCACCAATGAGAGACGTTCTAACAGTTCAATGACGTCTGTTGTCAGCTCTGGAACCTGAGATTGGAAACAAAGTTTAGAGGGTGACACATACAGTGTTGCGCCTGCGCTGGAAACATAAAAGTTTAGGGGGTGACACATACAGTGTTGCGCCTGCGGCAATATGACTATTTCTCCCTCCCTGTAATGCAAGCAATGTAAGCTTTGTTCACTTACATCATTGTAGAAAAGGAGTAAATAAACTTAAATGGCAAAAGTAAAACAGGTATGCTACGTATACTCACGGACTTAGATATATAATCTAATTCCGTGGTATACTGAAGGAGCAGGGCTAGAGCCTTTATATACATTCTTGTCATGAGCTATGTCCTAATTTTAAGGCAAACAAGAAATTAGTGAGACTCAGAGGAAAACGTCATATCAGAACAGCACTCCGATATCGTTGACATACATACCAATACCTGACTTTGAATGATGCAACTTTTTTTACAAACACATCCCCTCAAACTGATAAAATCGAGAAGGCATGAGAACAACAAAAAGAACAGGAAAATGGCCTAACAGGACACGGACAAAGATAAAAAGTAGCGAGTAACGTTGATGAGAACAGATACAAGATGGTAGATGGGTTTCTAATCAAAAGACCACTGTCAACAAAGCCTTTGTAGATGGGTTTCTAATCAAAAGACCAGTCAACAAAGCCGTGATGCTGGCCGATGAACATGTCTCTCACACATCAAGGGAACAGTCTTTAGGACAAAAAAAAATGGACGCTTCAAACATTTTGCTTCAACTCCAATTCGAAAATGAGATGAAAATCGACATTAAATAATTATGAGATTTTCACTGAAAATCAAAGCATTTCTTTAAGAGTTATCACAAGGAAACTGCCAAAGGTGCCAAAATCCAAGATGGGAATAAGCAGTTATATATATTTCAGTGTATGTGTTTGTTGAAAATCTCTTTCTTGTCGTAGAGATATCGAATGAAAACCTTGGTGCGGACACTTCAGGTGAGGAGAAATATTGGTATTCAGACATCGATATCAAAATCAGTTCTGAAAATTTGAATTTAATACTGTTGAGTTAAAGAAATGTTAAAGATGTGGATAACTCTGATGCACTGCAATTAATTATGCTTCAATAGTCCAATCTCTGTATGTTCTTTATTTAACCACCTACCTTTGGCAATTTATTTTCATCTATAGTAGTCCATGATGGAGCACTTGGTACCTGAAACAATAAAAGTAATTAAGGTTTCTCAGAAAAAAATACTAGTTGTACAAATGTGACGTGTCATTTTTTTGTATTTTTGAACATTCGACGAGGGTGTTTTGTGTTTTATTAAATGGGTTTTCAGTACTATGTTACCTCGAACAGGTAGCTTTTTAAGACGGTTCCGTTGCGCGAGTACGAAATTTACCGTCAAAGGGCGGATTTGGTGTGGGCGAACATCTCGGCGTACAGTATGACTGAGAATCCAACAACACTCTCGTACGATAGCTTAATTCGTGGTTACACATATTTCAAAAAGTAATACAAGAGTAAGTACATTGTAAGCTGCGATAACGTAGCTTCTGACGACCAGACACTTTTATATATTGCGTCGCAGAGGAGGCCAGGAATTAAAATAAGTACTATGACCGAGCATTCAGTGCCTCAATAAAGTTACATAATACCACTAAAATAGTCTGTTGACAATATCTCTGTGCATGGGAAAATCCAATTCAATTATTTCCATAAACCCATTTAAATCTCATTAAAAATACATAAATATTTGATGATGGCATACTCTATTGAAATGCATATAATGAATGTATAACAACATTTAAAAGAAAGTAAAACGTTGACATTACATATTTCCAAACAGATGAATCTTATTGAAGATGTAAGTATGCTTGGTTTTGAAGTATGATTAATGCATTTTTCTAAGTTCTAGATAGCTGTTCACGTGGGAGTGGTGTGTTAAATATCAATAATTATAAAATATATAGATAGATATGGATAGAGCAACAACTTAATGAATATTTTGTCACGGGTTCAGAGTTCAATGGTCCGTACACGGAAACGAATGTGATCATAAAAACCACTATCAGTGACATATTCCTCACTAATGACAGTATGTGTTTCTCCTTGTATTAACTGGTCGTTTATCATTATGAAATAATATATTGTAACATTTGAATCGATTCAATTAGTGTTTAACGTTTTCCTTGTAATCTTCCATCCCACGTACAATAAAATAATTTCTTTTTTATTTAAATCCATATTTGGTAAGACAATTTTGGTCTTTCGTCCTATAACTTGTAAAGCGCTTTAGAGTAATTTTACAAATTATATAGGGCGCTATATAAATTGTAAAATATTATTATTATTATATGTGAATTGGAGTTGTAGACATATATACTAAATTCATATTTTAGAATATGGAGTCACATTTTTTTTTTATATTTAATTGACATTTAAAAAAATCTGATTGCATTTTAATGATAATTTATGTGAAATATTTGTGACTCTAAATAAGTTCATATAGTTGAAAATTTTTAAAAATCTGCATCCGAAAGAAAAGAAACTAGGGTTTAGACTCCTTTTCTGATTCCCGGTGATGTTACTATATCCCAGTGATGTTACGTTGTCCCGGTGATGTTACCATATCCCGGTGATGTTACCGTATCCCGTTGATGTTACTATATCCCGGTGATGTTACTTTATCCAGATGATGATACCATATCCGATTTCATAAATTCATCGATTTCGCAGCACAATGAATTATAACTCATTTATGTTCATATGACAGTTCGTGACGGTGATGGTAAGTGTCGCAATATACATTTATATTTACGGCGATACTGCTAAGGGCCGTCGAACAGCATCGACTTGCACTTAAGTAGCTATGCCCAAGCTAAGGGGAGATAACTCCAATTGAATTTTCGCGCCGCGCCAAAATCTCGTCACACTTTTATACCATCGGAAGAACGGTGATTTTATCGTGCTTGTCCATGTTATAGAAATGGATACATGGTAGGAATTTTATCTTCGATATCCCTCGTCACTTTACTACAGTCTATATTACAAATATCATGGCGGAAACGCAAGGAGCGGAGATTGTGAAATATTGCAGAAGCGACAATTTCCTTATAAAACCGAGTACATCCATCAAAATTATATACAAATGTTCAGTAATTATCCCTTAAAATAAGTATATATATATGCCAATCTGTCAAAACCGTTCTTGGTATGAAAAATGCTGTTGAAATCCCAAGGGGTAGTATAACGGTAAATCCAATATGGCGGACACCTCGCCTCGAAAACGTAAACAAATCCCACCTGTACCAGACAAAACTCGCTAGAAGGATATTGCATTAACGGTTGTTTACCTATCGTGTAAAGGTATCTGTTCTCTTTGTTTTCTGTATATATTTTAAACATTAAATGATGTATATTTGTATAAATTTCGGTACTATTTACTTGTTTCTAAATGATTAAACTTTTAAATTAAGTTACTGTCACTCAGTCTTGACTTAGTTTACATACGCTGATACAGTTAGAAATTGAATAGACCTAAATTTAAATTTATTTCGAGTTTCAGTGTTGTCTGACATACAAAAACTATACAATGGTTGGTCTGTACATAGTTTACATTAAACATATCTAATTGATATGACATGCTTTTGTTTTTCAATATCATTTTTTTTTTTTTATATAAATAAAACTTGTCAGATCATACACCATGTACAAATACAATTTTTTGTTTTTAAATATTATTTTAATGATTTATCTGACTAAAACATATCAGATCATGTGTAATTACAATGAGTATGCTTGAAGACAAGTACCCTTCAGACTCCTGGGTAAGCAAATGCCACAATAAAAGGAGGGGCTGGTATATACATTAAGTACCCCAACTGAGATCAACAATCAGAAGCAATACCAACAGGCCTACATTGTTCAAACTACTAAGTTGAAGAAGACCTTATTCATGCTGCACACTCCATCAAAAACAAAATTGATAACACAACTCAAGTAGTATTCCTGACTGATGCCCTCTCTGTGCTACAAGCTTTGACAAACGACAAGCTTAACCTCAACTTGAACAAGCTTTATACACCATCAAAAGTCTGACAACAGTTCTACAGTGGATTCCTTCTCACTGTGGAGTTTGGGGTAATGAACAAGCCGATAAATTAGCAAAGAATGGTGCTGAACAATAACAGGAAGAAAATCCAGTCTGCTACACAGAGATGAAGACTATCATCAAATCTCTGTTCAACACCCATCAGCAACAAGACAGTTACCACCAACAAGATCTGACCAAACTACCATCTTCCGACAGGACACAACAGACTCAATCAACATCTATACAAAGTCATGAAAGTTGTTTCATCTCCAATGTGTCCTTGTGGAGAAGCAGAGCAGGATACTGCACACCTCTTACAGTCATGGAAGATCCATCAGGCACTGATCATGAGAGATAAGATATGGCATTCACCAACAGTTAGTGAGTGAGTGAGTGAGTGTTAACGTTACCACTCAAAGAAAAGCTATGTGGACCAGTGGATGCCCTTAGCACAGAAGACCACCAGATTTGTTGAGGAGACTGGTATTCAAGTGTAAAGGCGAACGATAAGAAAGAAGATGTGTAATTACCACTGAGACTGGTGCATCAATATATATAATTAAATGAGATTATTAATGTCATTCATTGTGTTTTGTAAGGGGAGGTAACTCTTTGTGAAGTAACATTTTAGCATCATCTCCGGAGTGAGGGGTGATATTTAGCATGGAAATCTTTCATTTTACAATAGAATAGATTGGTTCTGAAATTGTGGTAAAAAAAGAGAAAACAAATTCTCCCATATATACCATGTTATTGACCTTGTACGCTTTTTTGATTGTTTTCAGGAAAATGCTAAAAAACAATTGTGAAATTTCACGATTTCAAAAAATTCGTAAAAATCCAATTTTGAAGATAACATGGTTCTGATTGCTGTTTTGTAATCAGGTTATGGTAGTCTCTAGGAAAATGACAAGAAATAAATCACTTTTGGTTTAAAAAAAATTAGTTGGGCATAGCTAACTTAAGTAGACTTGCGTGGCGTGGCTTCCACATAAGTTCGTTAAAAACAGGTTAAACAGTTAAAACTATTTTCAGGATCCACATTCACTCCGCAACATACAATTCAACAATTTAATAATGTCACCTTCAAATAATAAGAACTGTAGAACTTCGAGTTCTTATGGTATTTATATACGATTTACTTCCCTTGCATTGCAAAAAGTGCGCAAGTCTGCAAAAATGCATGTCGATGTATTTCCGTGCTCAGCACTGATACCATCGACTTGAAATTTTGCATGTTGTTCGGTAAGGGTCCAATGTAACAGTATTTACCTTTGACGAGAAGCATCGTTTGGCAATTTGGCCAATAGTTCTTGAAATGTTCATAGCCATTTCATCATCGGTGTGATGCAGTCAGATACTTTCTTTTCGTCTCACATCGGAGTTATTTCCCCTCGTAAACAGGTCGGGTATGAATATCCAAAGTTTGAGGAAACTTCTTAAAAAATACATTTAGTAAATATGTTGTTTGCAATATAATTTTTGTTTCAAGGCGTTATGAAAGTGTAATGATTTCGCGCTATTTTGAAAGACCAAAGTTGATCATACCGATGCACTATGTTATATTTCAACTTCCTGTGGAAGTGCAACGGTGCTCTGCGGCATTTCCGGCTTGGTTACTGGGCACACGAGGTCAAAAACTGATCTTTTTTCAAGTGCATGTCCAAAGACATGGAAAGTATTAGTGAAGAATGTCAGGAGCTGAAACGGGCTTACGACACCTGTTTCAATAAATGGTTTGCAAAAGAATTCCTCAACGGCTCAAAGACCGATAAATGTGCTCCGATTTTCAAAGAATATCAGGCATGCGTGAAGGTAAGATGTATGACTTGTAAACACAACTCTGAACCCTCCCTCAAACTCTCTATTTTAACAGTCGTTTGACCAGTTGCTTCCTTTGACCTATACGTTTCAATCATTTGTTGAGGTTTTACAGACCATGAATTCACAATCGATTGAATATTGTAAATTTGAGATTTATTCGGAATGATGGGGTACGACGAATCACCGAATCGCACCAAAATGGACCGGAATGGAAACCATAAGCTATTTAAAAGGGAATTAAATAATTTAAGATTGGATGTGAACAAAATGGACCCTGATCGGAACCAAAACGAAAGTGTAAATTTTTATTTTTGTAAATTTGAGCTGTATTTCTTTATTTCTCGTGTATATATATTGTGTATATTATGGGGCAAAGAAGTAATTCCAACAGTGTGGACAAGTTTAGGTTGTCAAATTTTCGGAGCGATCCACTCCTTAATCAAGACACAGTGAAACAGAACAGTAACATATACATCATATTACAAGAAGATAGAACTGATATACTATAATTGAAAATATAGCTATTATATAAAACCAATAGTCCCCTCGGCTGAAGACAGCCGAAGGCAGCAATTAAGCTGAGAGCATCGCGGACAAGGAATATTGTGTATATTATATATGCCAAATACATAAATTAATGGCATGTATCTATGTTATATAATACAAGCACATGACTAGATGTTCATACATTAGAAAGGCAATTATATCATAATGCAGTGACGAGAGCAATAACCTGTGCCCACTCCTTTTGCAATATTTTTTTTAATAGAATATGTTTAAACTAAAATACGTGTCTTTTCGGTTCAGTTTTTGTTCTGTTCGTTTTAAACGGTCACACACATATATATGCATTATTCAGAAGTGTTTTAATTCGCTTTAAAATAACATAATGTATTTCTTCTTGGTTACGTTCTTGGTGCCGTTTTGGTCACACACCGTATTCAAATGTATTTGATACCCTTTAAAAAAAAACTTGGTGTATCTTTTCTTGTTTCATGTTTGGTCTGTTTTGGCCAAACGCAGTGATCAAATGTATATTGAATACCCTTTAAAATAACTGCATATATTTTTTTCTGTTCGTTATAAATTGTAAAACATATTATTCACATGGGTTTACTTCGCGTTAAATGATTTCAGCTATTTCTTTTTTGTTAAGTTTTGGTTCCGTTTACGTCCATTTCTGTCACAAAGAGTGATGAAATGTATATTTAATACCCTTAAATACGTTTCTTTTCGGTTCAGTTTTGGTTCTGTTCGTTTTAAACGGTCACACACATTATTCAAAAATGTTTTCTGTATTCAAATGTATTTAATTCACTTGGAATAATCGTATACCTTTTGTTTCGGTTCCGATTTGGTCCGTTTAGGTGATTCATTGCACCGGAATGATAAAATCAGGAAAACGGTATCAACGTTATATTGACTATGAAAGACATCATCAACGTTATATCGACGATGAAAGACATCATCAACGTTATATCGACGATGAAAGACATCATCAACGTTATATCGATGATGAAAGACATCATCAATGTGATCCCGGATTAGACTGTGTTAATACATTTTTTATCTTGTTATTATAGACAAAAGACCAGATTATTCAACCTCAACTTATATACAAACTTGCAACAGCTGGTCCAGTTCACTATGCCGATTGAGCTGTCAAGACCTATAATAGCTCTATTGACCTATCTGAAATAAGTCTTTTGAGCTATTTTCATGTGATTTTCTTTAAAAGTTGCTTTAAAAAGAAGATTGTATAAGTATTCCTTTTAGAAAATAATGATGTAAAAAAATCTGAAATTTTACATTTAGGAAAAAATGAAAACAAACATCTATATGTATGCTTTTGGTAGTCAGCATTACCATAAACCTTATTGTTTTATGCAACTTTGCTTTAATATATAGCTCAATACAGCTATAATTTATAGGTGAATATAGCTATATAGGTCTTTATACATGTAGCTATATAGCTTAATCGGCAGAGTGTACTGGACCTGTCCAATGTGTAAATTGTCACCAAATAGTAGGGTCTGTGTAGCACTTGGTTATACTACTGGAAATTGAGATTTTTGTTTTCTTACTTTTCTTTTTCAGAAAGCAGCAAAGGAAAAAAATATAGAAGTGTGGGAAATTGAAGAAGATGTGCTTGGTACTAGTAAAGAAAAGAAACCAAGAGAAATGGACTCAAAGGCAACAAAAAAATCATGATATGCACCATCAAAGTGACAAGTGTGGTTAACTCGATGGAAACTATTCAAGATTGAAGATGACGGACAACTGTGATAGATCCTGACGTCACTTAAAGTGAAAATGACATGACAGTAAAAGTTTATCCTTGATGAACAAATTGTACTTCATCATATCATTACCAAATCATTCATAACATGTAGTTATATGTTTATATATTTAACTTTTTGTGTAAATTATTGAATGACATGTAGAGTAAATAGTACACACAGAGAAATAATGTGTAATCTGCTCTTTTACTGTAAAATGTTGATAAATGTATAATTATTTGTAAATTACAAAATGAATGTTTCTCACTGTGGTGAACATGTTGAAGAATTGATCCTTAATTAAAGCAACTAGAGACATATTTCACACAATATTCCTACTTTGAAATATTTATATATTCAAAATGTCATGCAGTTTTGCATCTTCTGTAACCTGTTTATAAAAATGTTTTATTTCTACAGTAACTAACAAATGGTTAAGTCCAACATTGAAAACAATTTCACACACATCATCAGCATTTGGAGACACATTTTATATAAATCAGTTTTAGTCTATTTAAGTACTTTTTTCTTTGGTACTGTCATTTGCATGTACATTATAGTTGTTACAGAAATATGTAATAATAAAATGTGTAAATAAATATTAAAGCTAATTGAATGTTTCTCCTCATTGATATTCTGAATAATAGTTCATAGTATGAACATGTTTTTGTTTATTTCACTGTGTCCATTTTTAGCTGTGTGATGTGAACACACACGATATGTAACTATGTCTTGTTATATTTATGGTATATATGTGATGGCTTTTTAAGCCATACATGATTTACATGTGTTTACCATTGTACAGGAAATTCGTTTGTGAAAGAAACAGTTTATACTACACAATATACCTGTAGTGCAATAATGTCACTGAAAAAGATCATGTACGTACGCTTATACAAGTGCTGCATTTTGATATAATCTTATATTTTAACCAAACAACATGTATAGTAAAAACACACAATTCCTAGTTTTCCACTCATTATTTGAGCAATAATCATTCCAGTTCATTATGATATACAGTGATCCATCTACAATTTATTTTAATGAGTCCTTTTCAACTGTAATGCTAAAAGCAATGAGTCCCACAATGTTAAATTTAACTATTTCCAGAAATTCTGTGAGTCCCATCAAAATTCTATGATACAGGACTCAGGACTCGCATGTAGATTTATCACTGCTATATAACCATTAAATATCTATTCAGTTTTTTGTTCATGATAAAAATAAGATAAAAAAAGAAATGTTATAAGTTGCTTTAAGGATTAATCCTAGATTTGTGCTTCAAAGTTATCTCCCATAAAATACTTTTATCATCATTTTCTAATAATTCGAAAGTAATTAGAGAAACTTGAGTAAATATGCATTCTTTTATTGCTTTTAAATGAAAAAATATTGTTGATAGAGTAACCGAGTTTAAAAAACTATTCATTAAAAACCAAATGTAAATATTCTCTATTCAGGCTTTTAATATATGATGTAGGTATTTTTATATAGGACGCTTTTGGAAAGTAAGCATGTATATGTCTGAAATGAAAGTTCTACCTCCTACCATATGTTTGATTCCAGTATGGAAAAACATTGTGATGATCAGGGAAAAATAAATCTGACTTTTCACAGGCACATTCATAGAAGTTGAAATGACTTGACAGGAACATGTGTCTGAAAGTCTTGTCCCAATTATTGTTAGTATGGTTAAATCTGATAAGATCTTTTGTATCTTTTTAACATTGTGATAAAGATTTTCAACCCGATCATGAAGAAGATTGTTATTTTCCCTGTATAATGGTGTCACGTTTTCTTTATCCCAATGTGAATTATATGCAGCATAGGCATTTAGTGTTTAGAGTCACCTAAATTATTTATATACCGAGTGTAATTTAAAGACATATATATAAATATGTAGGGATATTAGTGAAAAAATATTAGTAAAAGGTAACAGAATTTAACAGAAATGATGTTATTGTAACTTTTCTGAATAATCTAAAGGAAGAAGTTGAACATTTATTGTAATGCTACCAGGAAAAAGATCGTCTAATTCTGCTTTAACTTGCATATGTGTGAATGTAGATTTAAATATACATAACCAGATGTAATATCTACACACCCACACATGCATGTATGTACATACAAAATATGGAATATATAATGAATATTGGTTTAAGATTTAATATCCCATAGTTTATTTGTAAGTGCTATTTGAAATCGTGATGAATACTTGTTTTACCAGAACTAGAATATGGTGCATGTTATACATGTAAATGTATTTTTATTGGCTTAACGACGTAAAAGCAGTTATGGAAGAAATGCTAATTTATTGAAGATTTGTTCGAAAATTT